CGCTGGACTGGGTCTTGCTGCTGCTGGAGTTGGTTGGGGTCTTGGTGCCTGAGCTGGTGGTTGCGGAAAAGGCTGTGCAGGGGCTGCAAAAGCTGGGCTGCGGTTCTGAGCGGGACCAGTTGGAGCAGATGCGGGTGCGCCGGAGATGCTTTGCGGAGCTTGGGTTTGGAGCGGTACTGGTTGCGTAGATGGCGGCTTTCCGGGTCCTGCTCCTCCACCTCCACGATGAGCAAAGTTGAAACCTTGAGCGCGCATTTCGGTCCCGATCCGACCACCGTCAACTTCCAGAACCAAATAACCGAAGGCCGCATCAGCAAGATTAAAGTTCCACATGTTCTTGAATGCGCTTTCGTCCACTTGACCTACACCATTGGTGCCGCCAACGGGTCCTCCAAATGGATTTCCGCCATTCGCTACGGTTGGCATCCGATTGACAATGTCGAGTGCGTTCTCAAGCAGCGTCTTCTGTGCGTCGTTCTGGAGAATGGCTTGCTCAACTTCGGTTCTGACTGTTTCCCATACATCTTGGAAGGAAGCCTTAGAAGCGGCAAGCTTGCCCCGATAGTGATCCAGAGTAGGATTGACACTGAACTCGTTATAAGAGCTGCCATATCGGAAGTGCAGTCCAGCGGAGACGGAAAAGTCGGCTTTCAGAGTGACTGAGAGCTGGTTGAGCATGCCTTCGCGGGCGGGTGAGGCGTGGGTGATGAAGACTCTAGTTTCCGCCGGGTCGTAGACACGATTTGCTGTATCGATCAACTCGCCCATTTGCAGCAACGTCGTCCACATGGTGCCCTGACCACCTGCAATGGTAGTCTTGCCCTCGCCATTATCGAATAGCTTGTGCATAACCACAGCGCCACCAAGACCTAAGAGTCGCAGCTTGACACCTCCAACGTCTAATAATCGTGAACTGGCTTCATCGATGACATGCAGATTCTCAACTCTGTATTCTCCCGATCGGAATTTCTCCAAAACCCTAACATCCTCACAAGCACCCCAAACGGTGTAGACAGGGACGTCTAGGGTGAGCTGCTTGTTCAACAGAAGTGGCAGCTCAGACAGTGGAAGGTTTTCGGCGCCAAATCGATTCTTGATCGACTGATTTATCGCAACCTGAGCAATCTGTCGCTTTATGTTGTCGTTGAGTAGTGGCGAGTATTGTGCTACATGCTTGAGGGTTCTATCAACAACCGGTCAGATCTCTTGCACTGGTATATCCTTCTTTCCCAACTCACTTGTCCGCTATCCGATCCAGGGAACTCTCATCGTAGAAGCCAAAGTCGCCAGTATGGAGGATGTAGTCTGCTCTTGCTGCTTTGGCGAGTTCGTTCAAAGATCGTAAGTTGCCTGTGATGCGTGAGTCTCATTGACGCTTCGCTCATTGGCGGTGCACGAATACCTCGAACGTCTGCAACACAGAGAACTCTAGTCGCGCCTGACTGAATTACGCGCCCGTTATTCGGGAGAAGAGCTTGAGCGCCGGGAACTGGTCCGCTTGAACCGTTGGGGAGGTATCCTTGATTTTGGAATTGCGGATGAGGCTGTTGACATTCGACAATCAGCGCAAGTACTACCTGAGGGACATTTCGACACATGGCAGAAGAGATGTAAACCGCAGCAAGGAGAGATGGTAGGAAAGGCAGGCAGGATTGCAAATCGGACTTACAGAAGCCATAAGGAATCCGATTTAGAGCTGTGGAAAGTGCTGCGGATTGGATTTTGGAAGACACAAGAAATGCACAGAATACACGCTAATGCGATGGATCTTCCACAGCGATGAGGCTGGCGGCTGGCGAAAGGTACAAAGGACTTGTCGCAGGATAACGGAAAGGTAGACGTGGAATCTCTAGCGAATGAAGCTTTCACGATACTTTCTCCAAAATCTTTTGTCTTCCCTATGTGGACTAGCGCCGCACAGATGGTTTGGATCGCAGGTGCCCCCAGGTGCTATGTGCGATGATCGGTCTCTATAACGCGCCCACACAGAGCTTAGAGATGGAGATCCACAGGCAAACAAGATATTGACTATGTATGTATGTTTATCTAACAAACCAACTCTGGCAATTCGAGCTTTTGGGGTATGAGACTCTGTTTGGCCCACCGGCAATCAGACGGATCAACACCCCCAAATAGAACTGCCAACGCCCCCCCGATGAGCCCCCGCAACATACCCATCAAGAACTGGGAGAAATGAAATGCGTCACAAAAAGCCGAGTTACCCCTCCGGGGTAAGATGGTAACAGACAAAAATGATGCTGCGCCTATCGTGCCGAGCTGAGGATATTATCAACGTCTTTCTGGTGAACCACAGCGCCCCCTTCCGAGCAATGAGCTTTGGATCTTAAATCGGTGCAAAGACTTTCGACATCAATTTCTCCGTTGTGAAACTTCTCCATAGATTGCAATCGATCCCTACGCCACGTATCAGTACCGACTTGACAAGAAAGAAAGGATGGGACAAACCAAACTTGGTTGCAGCCAATCATCTTTGAGCCATCTTCACTGGTAGCATGTTCCTCTTTCCCATCTTGAGCTGCCTCGACCTGCGCCATAAGATCCGGCTTCGCTGGGCTTGGGCCAACCTCGTTGAAATTATGCTCAGGGCTTCCCAACTCTGGAAGTGGAAAGGCATCATTGAAGAAAGCCCCAAAATCTTGCGAAGCTACCGCGTCCTGAGGCTCTCTATAATCGCCAAACAGTACAGGGTCAAATCCACCGCCGTTCTGCTGGGCGAACCAATTGAACGAATTAGGGTCAAAATTGGGAGTAACAAAAGAGCCTGCGAGTTTGATTAGACATGATATCAAATTGGAAACGGGATTCGTCCAAGCTTCGCTGCTCATGGCAAGCTTCCGGTAGACTAGTCACTTACCACCAAAATGAATTTGCGGTTGGTTCTCTTCATTGATTGTGTTGAGACCATAGTCCGTCATCTTTTGAGCTGGAGAGCTCAGGCTTGGCTCAGGAGACGTCCCAATGGATGAGCCATTCTGCTGTGACTCATACGACGAGGCAGGCGAATTTGAGTTGGTCAAACTTGAAGTGCTGTACTGTCGCACGTTTGCAACTGGACTGATGTGTTGGTCTGAGTTGTTGCGAGATACTTGATTGGAGTGGTTACTGTTGTTCTGGGTAAAGTAGCCGGTTGAAGCCTGCCGACTTGCTTCCAGAATCGACGGACTAAAAAGTCCACTGAAGCTGTCAAGGCTGCTGGCACTGGCATAGCTTTGTATGTTGGGTACCGAGGGCGAAAGGTTTGAGGCACTCGTAGGGGAGTTACCAGTGGATCTGTGACTTGGCCCCGGCATCTGTGGGCTCGAGCTTGGCAACGAAGTCCGCGAAGTCCGCCCAACGATACCCGGTACACCAAAGCTGCTCGGTTCGGAGGGAAGCGTTGCTAACTGCAAGGAGCGGTTATTTGCCTTGTCAGCCGACGTGGCCTTGTTGGGAAGATTATTGGTAGGAGGATCCCCAAATCGAGGGAACTCAAATTGGAAATCATTGTGATTTGAGTTGAGAGAATTTCTTGCTGCAGCACCAGGAGCACCAGATCCGAGGGAAGGGCTCACACCCTGGCCGCTGCTGCCGATCCATGATAGTCTCTTTCGATATTCCTCGAGCTTAACCTGAAGTCGCTCCACCTGAGCACGGAGTAGCCCATTTTCATTGTTTGTGGTTTCGGATGCCTTTTCCAGATCCTCCACTTTGGTTTCCAGATCTTTCAAATGTCTCTCCTTGCGCTCACGGAAGGCTCGTTGGGCAGCCCGGTTTTGTGCTTTGCGCTTCTGCGCATTGTCAGAACGGACGACTACTTCTCATGGACAACTTACGGTGGTTGGTTCAGCTGTAAGTGGCTTACGGCCTGGTTTCTTGCCGGGCCCACCTTCACTTTCCCTCCTTTTTCCACCACCTTCCTCTTCATCGTCCTTGTCCCCAATACTTTTCCTTTTCTCGTGAAGGTCACCTGCATCGATTTGTGAAACATCCCCTGGAAAGTCATCAATGAACTGCCCACTGCTATCGAAATCGAACTTGTCATCCACATCTACGTCGAGGTCAAAGCCAAACGGGCAATCGTCAGGCTCCGGATATAGGCCCGATGTCAGCGTATTCTGCGCAGACTGGTTCGAGTGACCATTTGTATTGTTCTGATATCCATTTTGCTTTGCAGAATGCTCGTCATTCTTTTCTTTGTCAGATGGTTTCGATGTTCTATCATTTGCTGATGCCTTGTTCGAGCTAGAAAGGCGATTGGAAGCCAGAGCAGCAACAAGTAAGGTTTGCTGGTCAGGCGACAGATGATATTGGAGCTCAGATGGCGACATCGTCTTGGATGCTTGGCTGAAGTGTAGATTTCGGCGTTGCTAGAAAGTTGAAAGCGAAGTTTGCAGGAAAGCCAATGCGGTAACCGCTGAAGGGTATAACAATGGCCGTCTGATGCTGCCGCTGCCTGTGCAAATAAGATTTACTACCTTACAATCCTCAACTACGTCGTAGAAAACCTAACGACGGGAAGCTGGTAGAATGAAGGTTGACAGGAAGGATTGTGGCAAGAAGATAGAATAGTACATATGGTGGGGCTGCGCTCCAGGCCCAGGTAGTAGGGCGGGAGTACTTAGTAGGGCGGGATAGAGGCACGAATGTGGTGTTTTCGACAAGTCCCTAGCGTCACAATCACGGAGGAGCTTTCGGCCGTTTCTCAAGCCAGAAGTGTAAAGAGATGATGAGCCAGTTTGAAGGGGACGGAAGTATTGGTAGGGAGAAGACGGAGCATGCAAGAGCAGGGATTGAACTTTCAGCAGCATTACCGCCAGTAAGAGGTTAAGCGATTGGCTACACACGGAAATAGTCAGGTAAATGCCGCAAAAGTGCTGCTCGAGTAGGATCCTTAACCCACGCAACACGGATTATAAATCAAGGCACTAGCACGAAAGTTCGAGGATGCTAGCCTGATAAATGACGGGGATTTTGCTGCTGCCTAGCCCAGCTGTTTCTGCTAGGTAGGCTGAAGACAGGACTGCATCGGTATCTGGACACGGTAGATCAGGGGCGGATCCAAACAATGTAACTTAGATAGTAGCAGTTATTAGTTATTTGGTGTAGTCAGGTTGAACTTGAATGCATCGATACACGCCAAGAGCTCCTGTGCACGTGATCGTGCTGGTACTACGTAACGTAGTATGTAGGTTAGTCGTACTGCGCATCCACTGAAGCTCTGCGCAAATGGCCACCCTCGCCCCGAGCCAAAGCCAGCGTTAAGACAAAACAAGATCCTTATGCTCGAGGTCGCTAATCGTTAGACCCATTACCTTATCGTTCTCTTCCCTGGTTTCTGCTGTTGAGCGGTGGTTCGTTGCCGCCGGCGTCATGAGTTCCGAGGTAGCAGCGCTCGAAGGTGAAATTCGAGAGTATGAACTACAGGTAGATGAGCTACTAGGACTTTCGTGGATTGATGCAAGGCTAACCATTTCCAAACAGCTAGAGACCGTGGTCCTTGGGCTGCAGAACGATCCAGAGAATGAAGAGCTGAAGGCTCTCCAGCTTGAACTTGACCAAGTGATTTCGCTCACCAGATCAGCTATCGCAGAGCTAAAGCCAGCTACAGCGCCAGTCCAACCCAAACAGTCCTCGCCACAGCCCCAGAAATGGGACAAATCCCAACACCCTGCGTTTCAGGCAGGCTACCGAAAGATCGAAGCCGAGCCGGCAACTGAGGAATCACAAACACCGGTGGCGTTCAAGGTCAACGACACGGTGTTAGCAAGGTGGAAGACAGGAGATGGCGCCTTCTACCCAGCCAGGATCACATCCATCACGGGCTCTTCGAGCAAGCCTGTGTATATCGTCACTTTCAAAAACTATTCCACCACCGAAACCCTAGAGGGCAAAGATCTTAAACTTATAGCCGATTCCAAGAAGCGCAAGGTTGATGTATCTCCGCCGCCGAATCCCAATGTCATCTCCGCCGCAGCAAATGTCAACCCAGCACTGGCCAGTCAGGCGAGGCAAGAGCCAAGCAAGGTCAGTGATGGGCCGCCTCGGCCTGCCAAACTCCCGCGAAAAGTGAAAGCCGGCAAGGAATTAGAGGCCGGTAAAGCGAAATGGCATGATTTTGCAACCAAAGGGAAAGTGGGCAAAGTTGCGAAGAAGGAAAGCATGTTCAGAACACCCGAGGGGGTCAATGCCAGAGGTGTGTTGTTCCTCTATTGGGTCCTACTTCTTTACTGACTCTCTCCATAGTGGGCTTTACAGGTTCGGGACAGCAGATGCGCAAGGACCCGGCAAGGTCTCGACACATCTACAATCAATCTAATGACGAGGAGGCTTGACAGCAGCGCAGGGTTTTCTTGTTTGGGCAGTGCTCAGCTTGTTTGCATTTGAGCTTGTTGTTTTGAAACAGACGCTGATTTGCTACCGTATAACTACAGATAAATCGGAGCGAGCAAACAGGACGCATTCTTTGCAACCCTTACTGTCAAGACAAGTACCTGCTCTTCACCTTCCTGGAGCGAAGTCTGATCGTTGGTGAACATGCACAGATATTTCCTCGACCCGCGGCGAGTCATACCACAACAAACAATAATAAGTACTTACCAACCACTCGCCCTTGGTATGTGTCAAGCATATGAGGTCAGTGCCGGGTGACATCATGCGAGCTATCCTTGGATTGGCCGTAGAGATCTTGGTGTCAGTCTTCGACTCACCACCATTTGTCTTATTGTGGTAGCGTAGCTTTGCGGGTGGTCTGGGAGGAAGTCTCGGGGACGCAATTCTAGACGTAGTCAAGCCTTTTCTCTCGTCTGATACATAAGAATACGAGTCAGGAGATGCTAAGAACGGTGATGCCGAACTTCTCTGACCGCTCAAGAGATAGTGCTAGATGGACAACCTATGCATGGAATAGGGGCTCTCCTGTTCGAGCATGCACTTCCTTCAACCTCCGTCACGCCTGATCAAGTAGATGCTACTCGTAGTGACTGTATTCGTTGACATGTATAAGCACATGGGATGACCATAGCATAAATTCCCAAACACATTGGTGTCTGACGGGAATGTAAGAAGTGAGAGGCGCGTTCGCTTTCCGCCCCCCCTTTTCAGCTCCTCTTGGTAAAGTATTCTTTTCCCAGGACCCGAACTTATCTCTCCAGCTCTCCAGGACCAGTTGGTAGTGGAGCAAGCACGGAAAACTCAGCCATCCTGTCTTGAAGCCGCTGATCTCGTTATTTTCGCTGCCATTGCCATCCTATCGTCCCACCTCCCTGCCGGTGCCAGAAACAATACTTATTTACCAATTCTCTCGGCACGCACCCACTTGAAGCAAGCCCCCATCTCGTTGCATATATCTCCATATCTCGCCACCCTCGTCCACAGGGCAACACATCTAAGATAGGAGGTCTCGCTGGCCCATATGGACTACGCCCCATCCCGGCACTGGATCGCGACTTCAGCGCCATGGGCACCGTGCGGCAAATTGGCCTTGCCGTGCTCGGTATCTCGTTTGCAGTTTTCGTTTCCTTCTTCGGCTCCCTGCCCGTGTTTCGGTAAATAAAGATCTACCCCTTTCCCCCTCTCTTCGCGGATCGACACGTTCTTTTTTTTTCTTCTTTCTTCTTCTTGGTTTTGACAAAAAAAACTTACAGCCGCACACCGATCGGTTTTCTACATCGTCTGATCTGGATCCACACACCACATGGGCTGGCGGCGATCGATCGATACCTTACCGGGGGCCGGGTGGGAACGAGTCTGAGGAGGACGGGCCATTACCTGATGCATGAGAAGCATCCGATCGTGCTGGTATGCAGATCTTCCTCAAAGTCATAGCTCTGCTTTTCTCTTTTCGTTTCTCCTAACTCCCCCATTACCCTTTCAGGAAGGACCCCGTTTCGAGAAGCATTCTGTTCTCAGCCCAAGGAAATATAAACCGTTAACACAACAGCGTGCGCGCCCGCTAGATCTTCTTCCTGGCCCTCCTCGTGATATCCGAGATGCTCTTCATCCCTGCCGCGCTACCGCTCCTCCGCATCACCTTCCCTCATCTCCCATGGTTCCACCACATGCTGATCCCCCTCTTCATCACCCCACCCTACCTGTTCCTGCACCTCTCTCGCTCCACCTCCTCCACCATCACGCGATCCAACCACCGCGCGGCGCTGAAACGCTACCCGTACGATCACACCATCTTCCACGGCTCCAACGACCTCCGTGCCCCGTGCATCATCTCTCCGACCTCGCCGTCGCCGCTCGCCACCCCAACCTGCCGGACCTGCCAGCTCGCCAAACCGGCCCGCAGCAAACACTGCAGCATCTGCCGCGCCTGCGTGCAAAAGGCCGACCACCACTGCGTCTGGATCAACAACTGCGTCGGCCGGAACAACTACCTCTACTTCCTCGTCCTGATGCTCTCCCTCACCCTCCTGTTGGCCTATGGCGCCTACCTGGGCTACCAGATCCTCCATGTGCAGATCCAACTCCAACGCTCCTCCTCCTTACCAAGCTCCTCTCCATCCTCCGCCAGCTCACTCAATCCTCACTGGTCGAAACACCTTTCCTGGTCCTCCTACACCCAGCAGTGGAGCGCCATGATAGCAGACCACCCTCTCATCGCCGCGCCAGCCCTCCTGGCCCTCCTCTCCTTCCCCTTAGCATTGGGTCTGATGCTCTACCACGTCTATCTCATCTGGGCGGGGATGACGACCAACGAAAGCGGCAAATGGGCGGATCTGAGGGAGGATATTGGAGAGGGGAGGGTGTGGAGAGGGAAGGTGGAGGAGTTGAGGGGGGATTTTAGGGAGTGGGGTTTGGAGAGTGGGTCCGAGTCTGGAAGGGGAAATGGGGGGCGGAGTGGAGGGGATGATTGCGGTTTTGAGTGGCCGGTCATGCCGACGTGGGTGGTTGTGAGGATGGAGGCGGCTGGGAGGGGGCCGAGGGTTCGGAAGAGGAGGGGCAAGGGGAACACGAATATGGACGGGGAAATCGGACCCATGGATGGAAATAGTGAACAATGGGAAGAAGACGAGCGATGGACGCAGGTGAGGCGTCTAAGCGAGATAGTGAATATCTACGACCTCGGCTTTTGGGATAATCTCAAGGATGTCCTTCTGAATAGAGAATAATAAGGTCTTTTTTGGATGTCTTCATTTTCAATTCGATCTTCTCGCTGCCTCGGAGACACGAGCGTTGAGCTAACCAGGCTAGAGAAAACATCAGCTCGGAGAGCGATGGGCTGATGGGCTGATGGGCTGATGGTCTGCAGTGATTTCTTGCACATTTGTGCCACCTCAAAGGCTCTATCAGAGCTTTCGCTGCCGTGGATAGAGCTGTCGCTGGTAGCTAGACCTCGCTTCACAACGCCTAGAACATTCGGTGTCCGCTCCATCGTCAAATGACCGTGGTCAAGCGTCATAGGCTTTCGATTCGGGGGACGAGGTAAGAGATGGGCGTCTCCTGGTCAAAAGATAGCAGACTGCTCAAGCCGGCCCAACGAGCCAACCCTCAGCTTCACATTGCAACACGCCTTCCGCGATGAGTCTGAACGGGTCGATGTAAATCTGCAAGCCAGGCTCGCCATCCGGATCTGTGGACAGCTTGTACACACGGAAGATGACGAACAAATCCTCGGGTAGCGATTCGTCAGAGTCGGATGGAGTGGTCAGCCTCGCAGCCTTCATCTTTTGCAACCTGGACAAGTGAAATATCTCGTCACAGGATCGCGTCGTGCCCTTGACCTCGATGTGGAACGTAAGCGGCTTCTGCTGCCAAATACTGGGAACGTTGATCTCCCTTTCAAGCAACCACTTGAGCAGCACTTTTTCCTTGTCGTAAAAGGTAAAGTCAGATGCGTCCTCTTCGCCTGGTGCAGGCTGCCATGCGGAGAACTCTCGGCCGGCAAATTGTCGTAGCTCACTCGTCCAGTTTGTTGCTGCATCAAAACTGTTCCCAAGGATCGCTTTCAGCATTCGATACATGAAATATTCCCCTTGCAGGCCTACGTCACGGTCTTCAATGGAGGGATTGGCCGACTCGAGCGAACCTGGGATCTGCATCCGGGAGCTCCGTTCTCCCATCACATTACGATCATCGTTTGCGTAGGAGCTGTCTGCGTCCTTGATGGCTTTTCTAGACGGCACGGTTCCAGCGACCTTTGCTTTCTTTACAGAAGAGCTTAGTGCCTTTCGTGCATTTATCTGCAGAGCTGGTACTGATTCTGTATCAGCTTCGGTCTCTATATTCATTGCTGGATGATGAGACGCTGGGCGTTCACTGTTGATTTCTTTTTCATGTGTCATTGCATGAGAGCCTCTGTCAGCAGTCTCTGTCTTCGATGATCTTTCATTAGGACGAGCAACTTTCCTAGGCACACCAGTTTCATCTGGCTCTGTAACAGCTGCAAGTTGGATGGTGACATCGCGATAGGCACGTTCATCCTCACAAGGTCCCACACCATGCTTGGTGAGGAGCTCCTCAATCTGTTGAGGTTCGTCCTCATGCAAGACTTGCCCCATCAGTAGCGAGTGTCTCCTGTCCCCAAAATATTCCGCTAGATCGCGAGCGAGGTCGTAGTATGCCCCTCCTAGCCTTCTGCTTTCTATGAGACCCTCCTGGAAGCAGATTCGAAGCCCAGCCCCATCTGGCGATGGCTCAATTGATACCCTGCATGGAACATTCTTACCGTATATTGGCGTGACTTTGGCCTTTTGTCGCCATTCAACATAAGGTCTAGCTTCGAGAGATGCCCCACCCCAGACTTCCAGATTCAAAAGAGCTTTTGTCTTCTGCAGGATGGCCGTGGATGGAGTTTTGGTATGAGCTGCTTGCGTTGCAATCCTAGCCAGATATTAGTAGGGTGCGAAAAGTGTGCTGGATTCATCCGACCTTCTAAGATAGATACCCTTCCATGCAAGAAGTCTAGTTCCATCCTCACTCAGCTTGAGATATCTTCCTCCAGCCTTGGTCTCCTTGGCAGCTTTAGAAAGACGGCGCTCCCGCCTACCAAATACTTCACTTCCTACAGTATGTAAATGGCGCATGTCGGACCAGTCTCCGTGAGTGAACGCCGCTAGCCAGACCTCGGTCCCATCGAAGGCCTCAAAGTATCGTTTATTATCGGCATAGAACCAGAAGTCCCAGTCCAATCGCATAAGCTTAGTTTCTTTCACCCCATTGATCATCCTGTAAACAGGGATAATAGGCTGGTGTTCCAGATTTCGCTGAAGTTTCCTCCTAGCTTCATGAGGTGGGAGCTCCGGTAGGTGGCAGCTAAGTGCGAGGAGTAATTGTTGTAGGCGAGATACAGTGGGCGTATCAGGCTCGAGATAACTGCTCATATCGGCAATCTACTGAAGAACCATGTCAATATCAGCATTGGGAATTCTCAAGCATTCATGGAACAGATGCCTCTGGTCCGGGTAATGCTCCGCTAGGATATACTTGGTTGCTGAACCCCGTTTAGCCTCCCATACGCAATCTGATGACAATACCCATTTCCTCTCCGGTGGATAATAGATCATTGGCTTGTTTCTGAATTCGAAATGATCTCCTTCTCGTCTCGGGCAAAGCATTTCTGCAAGAGCTGATACAGCGGAATGACGTCCTTCTTCATGGTCGACTTTGTCTTCTGAGTGTTGATACAATGGCACACAAAATGATAGTGATCAGGGACACCAACGCCAAAGTGTTTGAGATGCCGGCGTTCAAGAAGGGCAGACCTTTGGGAGCCACATTTTCCAGCTCCTTACAAGCAATCGAGAGCGCACCGAGCTCTTGCTTGTTGTGACCATCGTATTGTATCTTTGTAGATGCAATAGCCTGACTGACACCCTTCGGAACGCTGTCTAATGGGAAATGGACATGCCAATACTTTAGCAGATGACGCAAGGTGACAAATGGCAAACGCTTCTCCAAGAAGTAGGAAAACTCAGCTGTAATATTGTCTCCTGCAGAGTTGGCAACTCGAAGGATTGGCGACACTCCAAGGGTTTTACAAGCCATTGCAACCATTCAGTGCTTTTGGAACCACGGACAGCCTCCACGACCGACAGCCTCCACGACCTCCTTATGCAGCACAAGACCGGCTGCTGGTCCTTCCGCCAAATGGCGGCTTACAGGGTCATCCAATTGTGGATCGTCAACATACAATGCCGAAGCACGCCCCACGGCACCGTTGGAGGTGCATAGCCAGAGCATGGGACCTTCGCATGTGTTGAGACCTCTCAGATTATGCTGGGCCTGAAAAAGGTACACTGCATGAGAAATGAGAACGGACATGTCGCAAGAAGGTTTAGTAGAACGTTTGTGCTGACTGATGATCAGGTTACAAACTTGTCTGGAGTCAAACCGCTTGACGCCTAATTTCTGTAACAGTCTCAGTCCGTACGGGTTGGAGGCAACTGAATGGTGCACCAATTGAATATGATCAAGCCCGGGTGGAACTCTGTCCATGATATTCGTGTCGGCCACTTCGTACGTAATCACATTATTCTTTGTCGCAACCCAGCGCCCGTCTTGAAGCCGGATTATTGGCAGCTTGGCGATCTGCGCAGCACTGATTTCCTGATTGTCGCTAAGGATTCGTGCCAGGCTTGCATGCCACGCTGCCTTCTGCTCTCGAAATTGTCGGCCGGACTCAACTTCGACGTAAGTTTTGAGGTGGGAGAGAAATTGTTGCTGGCTCATTGTCGTTACACCCAGCCATCTCAGCCGAGTGAAGTCAGAACTGTCACATTCCTTGTGTAAAGAGATTGCGCTGTCAATAAGCGGATTTCTGTCTCCGATTCTGAATGCTTGAGGGATGAACACCGCTTCTGAGCCAGACACTGGTGTTTCATGACTAGTCAAAAGTATAGAAGCCTTTCCTAGATTCTGTCGGATGAGTTTTGGAAGCATCGAAAGTGCAAAGCACGGCTCGCCATCAACTGGCAGAAAGCGAATCCAAGAGAACTTGAGTGGGGTGTCCTTGAAGCGGAGTGCTGCCAAAGTGAACGCCTGAGCCAGTGCTCTGAGAAGCATTTGGTTCCATCCCTCATGCGAGTCATCCACATCTTCACGATTTGCAGCCAAGATAAAGTCAGCCTGAATGAGAAACTATCTGTAGTGAGCAAATCTACGGATCTGTATAGCTTAACGACGACATAACTTACGAAGAAACTCGTTTTGCGAACAGGAAGGAAATTGTAAGCATTCTGGGCCTCGATCACAGGGCAGTCAGAGGCAACGGGAAAAGCCAGGATAACTTCCGTTTCTTTTGCTTTAGGGTGTTTATTAGATCCATGGGTCACAGGGATCCTTTTTTTGACGATCATATAGTCGGTAACGACTTCCTCGTGACTACCAGGCTTTGATACTATGAGCCGTCGCATTTCTCCGTTGTACTTGTTGACTTGAGGGAAATCTTCTCTCCTGACCATCATCTTCTCACCGTCAACAGAGACTTCGGCTGTCCTTAGTCTCCGAAGGAAGAGTAATTGTGTTGGGTCAAAGGCACGTAGTTCACTCTGAATTCTGGCTCTAGGAGCATCCGGAGCAAGCTCAAGTAAGAACTGTGTCGTACCTGGCCGCTCGTGCTGTTGCGGAAACTCAGCCCATTCAGGATCAATCATGCCACACAAGCGACGGCTATCGAACTTGAAGGAGAAACCGCGAGATGCAATGTGGATGGCCACAGCGATCTTGAAAAAGCTTTTGAAACCAATACCCTTCTCTCCAGTGCAGTCTGGTCTGTCTGTTTTGGTACTCTCACTGATGGTGCAAATAGCTTGGACGTTCTTATTGGTGAATCCTGTTTCGTTGCTGGTGAATAAGAATCATGTCATGGAGATAGGTGATGTTCAATAGAGGGGCATCCACCAGATAGTCATTGTCGTCCGCGTTCTGAACAGCTTCCAGAACAAAATGTGCGGGTTGGGGATTCATATCGGCCAATCTTCATGTGTCAGTGAAGCTGGAGATAGAAGATCAGAACCCACTTACAGCCTAAGTGCCGATCCAAGCATCTTGAAGGTTTGAAAAGCGGTATCACTGATAACCTTTCCCTTAACATCCATCCCGCGGGAGCAGCGGATCTTCTTAATGACTTCGAAGGGAGTGTCATCGTCGCGCACCTGGTATCGGTTGGTGGAGGTTGACATGGTAAGGCCAGGTTGACTGTTAAGCCACTTTGTTATTTCTAAGCGTATTTTCAAGTCCGTAGCCTCTCAGCGGTTATGCATTCTAACTAGAAGTTGCAGATGAGCGAGCTCCGAGCAAGTCGAAGGGAAAGCTGAACGCAGGGTTCGGTCAGATGAGGATGGTGCAACCGCGTTAATGTAGCCAGATAACAGCCTGAAGCTCATATGGCTGATTACGCAGGAATTTCTGCATCCAGAGTCACTGGTAGAAGAAAGAAGAAAATGGGTGTGGTGTGGGTTAGCTGTTAGACATACTGGACACTGAACCCAGGCAGAAGTAAGCAGGAAGAAAACACTGCGGGTCAATGAAATTCTAAGCAAGCGTAAACACAAGTGCAGGCATCGTAAATTGAAGCAGAACCGATTACACATGTAGGAGAACGCCGTAGTACTCTACACCGAAAGCTATCCCCACTTCCTTCTCCTTGTAAGGACGGAGGGCGAGCTGAACACATCTTAAGGCCAACAGCGCCGACACAGTACTTTTTCAGGAAACCCGGTGGCACAGACAGACTTTGCCATATGGTAATCGCCATCTCAAATGATCGGTGGTACTTCTCTGCCACGCGCTCGACTATAGATATCCAGACAAGATGGCAGGAAGAAAATGTCGTTCTTCTAAACCTTGTCAACCAATATTCAGTTAACTTCTTCAAGTTAGTAGCAACAAGCTAGCATACTAGCACTCATACTTATACTCGCCCCGACGCTCATCCACAGGAGTTCAAGGTGACCTCACTCCCCTCTCATCGTCAGCACATCATCTTTGAAAAATGGGCTTCTACACTGGGATCAGAGTATTGGAGACCTTGAGCCCTTCCCCATGGGCATACTGCGGTGCCAATCTCGTTAGCAGACTGAAGTCGAATTCCTGTGTTTAGTCTTTGCAATGGACCGAGTTACTTGATTGATTCTAGCAGTGGATGGAGGAGAAGAAGCTGCTGAGCAGCAGCAAGAGCTAACCTAAGAGGCAAGGCCAAGCAAGCTAACGGATCGCACGTGATAGTCTTCGTGAAAATACTTCGGATTCTCACTCTACAAGTCGCAGGCGAGAATGTTGGTGTAGGTTTGAAAGCATTGATAAATATTGGCCATGTCCCTCGAGCTTTTCAGCGTCTGAAGTTAATCGAGCCAGATCCATTATTGGACAGGTCGAGCGAGGAAATTCCAACGTACGCTCACCTCATAGAGGCTAACGTAGTATGGGAGTTCATTAGATGAAAATAGCTGGACCTCAATGACTTGATCGAAAAGCTGTCCGGTCTCCTAATCTCTGGACTCTGATCAGAGTGTACGACTTCTCAAATGCCAGCAGGATTCCATGCTTTGCGCGCTCCTCACTGCATCACACTCTCCGTAGCCACTGTTGCTTACCGGTGTCCTTGACGACCCTACCATCCCAGCCTCCTATGGCCTCGTGCTTCGTTTCCTACCAGCGAACCGCTCGGTACTACTTGGCCTTCGCTCCAAGATGAGCTATGTGCTTTCTGTGAAATTCTTGTCGTTTCAGTTGGTTCCCGGATGCTCTTGGAGGGTCAGAGTCCGATATTTCACAATGCGGCCTACAGCAAGTATGAAGTTTTGTGCAAGCTATCGCTTACGGTGACCATAGCCTCTACGGCTACTCTTTTGGGCAGGCCAGAGGGATCATCGAATGACAAATTCAGCCAGAACAACACCTTAGAATAAAGATGAGTGAACATGGCAGCATCAAGGTCCATTCTTTTAACCTCGCGATGGTCTTTCAAGTAGACAAACTGTATAGTCTTGCAAAATCTATTTGACTCTTACTTTAGATATAGTTACCGTATTTCCATTCTCCAACAAACGCCGGCCTGCTTGCTATTCCTTTTCAGACCCAATACTGCTCTCCGCTGAAAGCATGTCATGGTGTCTCCAGTCTGTGGAAGAAGCCCGGAGTATAGACCGCCAGCACCAACGCCAGGGTGCACAAGGACATTTCCAATGCAGTTAATCTCCGACAATTTGGCGTCTTGCGCCTGCCCAACGAAGCCGTTCCGTGGGCGAAAACATGTTCCTCTTGGTCAAACAATCAGCTAGCCTTCTTTAAGTCCGCTCTAGGAACCCCAAGGTTGGTAACCGCCACCTCGTCTCCCCCCTCTCTTGGTATCCCCTCCTCTATCCCTTTCTGTAGATCCTTGTGTGCCCCTCGCCTCCTCTAAACTCCTCCGCGAAGCGCCAATGTCACTGATAGCAAACGGCAAGAAGAGCGGCTCATCCTCGTCAAGCAAATTTCTCTGATCTGATGGCCGACTAAAGCTTTGTCGACTGCCACCTCTTCTCTCGAAGCTGCCGCTTCCACCACTCTCAGATCCATGTGGCGGGGTCAAACCACGACCCGCTCCACCACCTCTGAAAAGGCGCGAGCGGTATACTTGGTGGACCGAGGAGCTTCCAGAACCAGAACCAGATTCGGCACCTTCTGCTGTTTTCGGCTGAATGCCCGAAGCAAATCGGCGGTGATATTCAAGAGAAGAACGATGTGTGAGTCGACCAGCTACCTGATCTGGGTCATATTCGGCATCATCGGTTGGGACGTCTGCTGGTGCTGTGTGTAAAGCCGACACATTTCGCCTGTCCGCTCCCATGCTAGCGCTACGCATGCCGTATAATTCACCTACATCTTCGTCATCAGCGACGATGCGACGTTGTGCAACAGAGCTTGATCGTCGATAGCTGGGCATAAATGGTCGTGGAGAGGTTGGTATGTCGATAGGAGGGACATGGGAGGCAGCTGGTCCCACGACAGTGCCGTCACTAGGAGCTTCTTCGGATAGATCGCCATGGTCATCAAGCGAAGGACCAGAGTCAACAGGATCCCGGTGGCTGTAATCGATGATGCTGTTCGCGCTAAGCCGAGATGGAATCGCAGGTGTGTGAGGAGTGTGAGGCGAAATAGGCTTGCCGGGAGACGATGATGTTGAGACGGATGTGGCGGCTACCATTGGTGGTACGCTGGAAAGCTGCCGACTGGAAGAGCTTGAGGAGCGATGTAGTGACATAGACATAGACTCAGACAGAGCTGCATTCGACTCACGCATTTTGTGAAATCTGTTCAGAGCGGCTGCCGTTCGCCGAGTTGACGCTTCAGCAGCGGAGGCGTCCGTAGGAGTCAAAAGATCCCGTTTCAACTCCAGCATACTGATGAACTCTGCTATGTTCTCGTCATCTTCGTGAACTGATGCAGTGTTTGCTGAAACGGCAGCATCCAACATAACGCCAGACCCTGGCTGATTCGCAGAAGAAGCCGCACTGGTCTTGCCACTACTGCCTTGGTCATCTTCTATCTTTGCTGCACCTCCAGAAGACAGTCGGGCGCGACGATGACTGAAGCTGCTACTATACCTAGTGATTGGTGCTGGTTTTGGTGAATTGGATGCTGATGGTGTTATAGTGTTCTCTCCAGCGGTTTGAGTAATCTTTCTCGCTGCACTGGCCGGCACAGCAGGAGGAGGCATGCCTCTAGCTTCGTTAAGAGCACCGAGTACTGGAGCTCGACCCACTGATGGTCGGAGGGAGTTGGACACAGGTGGAACTAACGATGGTGAAGCTGACAGTGATGGTGTCTTGAACGGCTGAAATGATATAGAAGACCTACGACCAATACCCGCGTTGCCTTCGACAGCACGTAGTGAGGACCGAGGATTTTGGCTTGATCGTTGAGCGGGCATTGGACGGGTGGGTGGTGAAGCCGCTGGTGAAGCAGAACCGAGGTCCTGAGCATTTCGTAAAGCAGTAATCGGGCTTGTTCCGGAAGCAGCGCCTATTTGATGAAATGTGGAGAGACTGCCATAAGCTTGACCGAGATCCGGACGGGACACAACGTCTCTTCTACCACTGGGTAAAGACCCCACTTCTTGAGTAGATGTTTGCCTGCGTAAAGATACATCGTCATTGGATATGCTAGGTCTGAACAGCTCGTCATCGGCACCCATAAAACGGGAGCTGAGAAGTGACTCGGAGTCATCCACCCCGAACTCGCAGTTCAAGCGATAACTGACTTTGACTGAAAAGGGACCAGCGGGTGAGTCGGTAACCCCGAATGAGTAGTCGGACACGGTCTCATCTTGAGAATCATACAGAGGAACTGTAAGATTATCTGATCTGGACAGACTACCTGATTGTGAGCCGTCTGTGATGCGGTACTGGAGTTTCAAGAAATTGTTGGACCGGGTCTTGGCAAGTTTTCGTGACAGCTTCCATGCTGGAAGGAAAGCGCTGTAGGTGAAAAGAGACCTGAAAAGCACAATACTCTTTTTGTATACAAGTGGTAAAATGGCATTAAGATCCGATGTAAGCTCCGAGGGTCCTTCGCCAAGCTGAATTGTCCATCTTTCCAGAATGACTCCGTGTTCAGCACGCCCTCTTCTTCTCCTGGATTTTGTGTGAGAAGATGCAAGCGCATCTTGTACATCCCATCTTTTGCCCTGGTCGTCTATTATAACTAGTTTTTGTTTAGAGGTTAGCTCATCGGTGTTCAGGATGACTTCGATAGTCAAGGGTGGCGGCCTGTGGATTTTGTGGTCACAGTTTTTCCAGGTACGTATTTCATCTCGGTAATCCTCTGTTTCATCGAGCTCAACGTTGAACTACGCGTTTTTATCAGCATACTCTATTTCATGTTCTGGATTGCATATACCCATTTATTCGACCGTTTCGAATTGGAACCCTTCGTATATGCTGGCGCAAGGTCGAATCTTGAGCGCAGGATGATCAATGCAGCTTTAGTGTGGAAATTCTGTCAGACGTGTCAGGTGAGCTCCTAGTTTGTATGTGCGAAGAGAAACCTACCTGGATCACCTGGTTCAGTCGAGCCACTTCAGCAGCTGAATTGGAGGAAGAATTCGAGTCATCACTACCACCGGCACGCTCGTGAGAGGGGCGAGAGAAGTTTTCAGCAGGCGGTGTATCCCGGTCTTGATCCCTCTGATTATTGGTTCTCTCTGGATTCGTTCTCTCCGAGCTGGCAGGAGAAGCCGTCGCAGGCGGAGGACGAGGATGCTGATGCATTGTGTGATCTTTCTCAGACGCAAAGAGGTCGGTTGTTGGTATGCGATTAGGGATTGGGCCTTTGTTTTATGTCGTGCAGCGGCGAATGAAGGTTGGACGACAGATGTGACTCTGGTCCATGCTTGGCACAGGTGACGATACACGAGGGCCTTCGGAATGAGGGCGTAGAAATGGTACGGCCGTGGCGATGCTCAAAATACTGGGGATATGGCGTTTGAACGCATGCTGGACGACGTCTCCAAGGAGATGAGGAAACCGCAGATCTAGGAACGATAGCGAATAACGGATCAAATCTACAGACAACGATACACTGCAAATTGATTTGCACTGTTCGCTGAAGATGGATGGGTAATGGGTGACCCTTGGGTCGTCACCGTGCAATCAGACGCCGAAAGAGGCAGGCAGGTGACTCGAGTTATTCTCGTGCGAGGATGACTCGTGACTCAATGTTTAGCAGTATCGCTAAATGGTGAACCGCGCTTTTTGCTCGTAGCAGCCAGGCTATACAGCTTAAGCAAGAGAACGGATGACTCTCAAAATATATTTTGCAAGACAGAGGATGAGCAAGGCAAATGATATAAGACTCACGATGGCAGTCTGCTGAAAGTGAACTATACTGGATCAGGATAGCTCTGACGGTCTAGCAACAGGGATCTTGCATTGGGTTATGATAGGCCTGGAACTTTGGTTGGGGAAAGGGCGCAGGTTCAGCTTGTCAGGTTTCCTTGAGCAGACGGATCCAAGCTTTCAAGGCCTCCGACGGGGTAAATAACTAGTCTCGCCACTCCCAAGCTTCCCCTTGCCAGGCTGCCAGACCGATCGCCAGGCCCTGGTATTTCAAGTTCTCCACTCAGTCTTGCCAACTTCAGCCTCTACATTTCTGACTGCGAAGCACCGCTGAGCAACCTTGGCGACTGCCTTGACTCCCGTTGACATGGCGGACCAGACATGACAGCCAATGTGTCATTCCCAACACATAAGACATCTAACTTTAGGCAGTTTTCTTGAGGACTGGTGCCCACCGTAGTACTTTTGTCGGCTGTTGTCTGCCTTTTCGAAGACGCTCCAGCAATATGATATTTGCGGGCTCAATACCCCTCGGCCGTTCTCAGCACAAACCTAGTGGACCACATTATCCATGCAAGTATGAGTTGTGCTGTCTATCTGGGTATTGTCAGCATGCTCCTGCATATAGTATCTGCCTGTGAATGAAGCGAAGGTCTTCATTAGTATACTCGGATCGGTCAAGGGGAAATTGTCCCTGGCCCCTTCAGATGAACGGCTTGGGGCCCTACTGTGGAACACATCAGATCGTTGAATATATTTCAAAGTGTGCAATTACACTATCGTTGAACATTTGTCCCCAACTGAAGGTCCCTCGGTTCCCGCATCCTGGAGGTATAACGTCTCATACTTTGGGCTCTGATGTACTCCGTAGTATTCCATGAGAGAATGGTTAAGGTGCCTGAGCTACCGTGAAATTGGGTGGGAACGTCTCAAGACCAAAGCAATCAGCAGCTGATCATGAAGAACAATAACGTATACCGCCCTTCTTGCCCAGCTTGTAGAATAACTTACATTCGGAATTGGAACAGGGCCAGCAGCAGAACAGTCTCTTCCTCTCCGTGATTGTCCTCGCGCAACGTAACATGAAGCACTGGTTAATGAATGCAGTTATGCACAATTTGAGTCAATCCCGCTGCGTGTGTATTGTACATAGCAGAGTGGAGCGTTGTGATGCCGCCATCTACTAATTGAAATTCCGCATGCTCGCGAGCCCTCTTCTCATTGGACAGGCGCATTGCTCACCTACACAATGAGTCCAACATCCCTCTTCCGAACGCATTCCATCCTCTAATTTATTTGCTACTTAACCCTTTACCACAAGTATTCAGTGTCTTTGGCTCCTTCTGCAGTTGTGTCCTGCCAAAAAGACGCTTCGCGCATTCGCAGAATCCCGAGATTTCCTTTTCCCTTTCGCTGCCTTTAAACACGCCGTCATCCATCGAGATTACAGCGAGGCGCATCTTCAGGGCGAGAGCGATCTGTTGAGTCTCTGCTTTGCGGCTCATGATTTACCTGTGGCAGTACTTTCTTGAAGACAACCTCGATGCCTTCCGTCATTACCTGGCTGATGCCACCTTCAATGTTGGCTCACACAAGGGACCTGGGAGTCATATCTCACACAAAGGTGGCAGCTCCACACTGCCGTCGACTTCTCCAGCCACCACATTCATAAAGAGTAGGAAGAGCTTGGAAAACACAGGCAGAGCGTCTCGGACGTCATGGAAACAAGATCAAAAGTCGTATCAAGTAAATCTGACTCGTGCCGACGTTAATGCTAAAGATGCTTATGGTCGGACTCTCCTTCACCTTGCCGCCTCATCTTCCAGTCCCAGCGCCTTTGGCTTTGTCGAAGCCCTGCTCCAAACCCCTTTCATCGACCTCTATATACAGGATCTGGAGAGTGGATGGACAGCGCTACACCGAGCACTGTACCATGGCCATGTCAGCATTGCCCAGGCTCTGATGTTGAGAGACATTGACGATCCGACGGACTATGCATCAACCATAGTACCACATGTTTCTGGAGGTCTTGTCAAAATCAAAGACCATGAAGGAAATAGCCCGTTCGAGGTATTCGCGTTGACCATTGCCGCTCGAGACCTGCAGCATCCGTCATTGGCCATTCCTCCTCCAAATCCGGAGGATTCCATTTCTGTGAATAGCTTCGACGCCGACGACGACGCCGGCGTTGATGACAGATCGTCAAGGCACCTAGTCAAACCCAAAATCAACCTTCTAGGAGATGAGGTGTTCGCTTTTGGGAGTAACAAGAATCTAAATCTTGGTCTTGGTGATGAGGACGATAGACAATTTCCAGAACAAGTAACCTTAACTCGCCCTGAGCAGCTGCTACATTGGCTACATATCGATGCTCAGATCAGGTGGTCGAAAGACTTCTGGGACCAGGACTTGTTCCCAAGCCAATCTATGACCCTGCCTGCAAACCGTTTGCCTGCTATCGTCAAGCACCAGCGGGTTGTTATCCAGGACGTCATCATGTCGAAACTTCATACCGCTGTGATCACCAATGACCCGGAATCTAATGTATATGTATGCGGCTTTGGACCTGGCGGCAGGCTAGGCACCGGAGACGAATCAACCAGATTCAGCTACGTCTGCCTTCAGGCAGGAGGACTATCTAAGAAGCATGTCGTGACTGTTGCACTTGGGCAAGACCATTCCATTGCTGTCTGTGAGCAAGGGGAAGTCTTCACATGGGGAAGCAACAGGTATGGCCAGCTCGGCTATAGCTTACCTCAATCATCCTCTACTACAAACGACTACCCAACGCAGCTGACACCGCGACAACTTTTTGGCTCATTGAAGAAGGAAATGATTGTAGGAGCAGCAGCATCCTCGTTGCACTCAGTCGTTTTCAGCTCTGTTGCTCTTTATGCATTTGGCAAAAACGAGGGACAGCTGGGACTGATGGATGCTGATGCCAGGTCACTTGAAATGCAGGTGATTCCACGAAGAGTAGGAGTCTCGATACTACAATCACCAATACTGATGGTCTCGGCAATTGATAGAGCGACTACGATATTGCTCGAAAGCCATGAGGTCATTGTCTTGACCCACTTTGGCTGGACGAAAGTAGTCTTCCAACTTGAAGGCTTCACCAATTATTTCTTAAATGGCAGCTCTGCAACGCGCTATGATCCTGCAGGCAACTTTATATCGAAGATCACCAGTGGTGGCAATAGTATATGTGCATTGTCAACCTTCGGGGAAGTCTTTTCAATCGACGTCAGTAAAAAGCAGGACGCTTTAGCCACGAACCAGTCTACCACGAACCCTTCCAAGGCCCGCAACGCGCTCCCACAACCTTCTAAGCTCTGGTCCATTGGGAAGTCACACATGTCCGCACGAGACATTGCGATTGGCCAGGACGGCTCTATAATTCTTTGCACAGCCTCAGGCTCTGTCTGGCGCAAAGAGAAACGTACCAAAATTAAGCAAGCTAGTACCAAGGGAAATGCAACTAAAATGAAAGATTACAAATTTGCTCGCATTCCGAGCATTAATCGAGCTGTAGGGGTCCGAAGCAATGCATATGGAGCATATACCGCGATTCGTAAAGATTGCGACGTAATGCGAGAACAGATAATTGTGGATCCGCAGTCAATATGGGACACAATGTTCACCATGCTCCCATTCAAGGATCTGGCTGCTCCGAGTCATGATGAGGATTCTGATATGGAAAATCCAAGGCCAAGATTCTGGACTCCAGCCACAAGCTCATCGAGTCCAGCGCATATCAAACAAGCCATCTTGGTCTCAACCGATATTGAGGGCCAGGTGCAGAAGCTCCTAGCGAGGCACGAACTAATGGTAGAATCGCAATATGATCTGTGGATTACCTCCTCAGTGGGTGACGTCCGAATTCCAGCACATTCGTTTATTGTCAAGGCACGAAGTCGTGTTCTAAGACATGCTTTAGCAAGCTTTCAACAGTCCTATTACTTCTCAATTCCCGATGTTCTTTCAATCGAGTATGGGCCCGATGGACAGATAAACTTAATCTTTCTAGGCGCAGATTTCCTCACAATACTCAACTATGTATTCTACCTTTACACGGAGAATATTGCTGATGTATGGCACCATACTCAGAAAAGACCCCATATGGCGACCAAATACCGACAAGTTCGTTTAGATCTGATGAAGTTTGGAGCCACTCTCGAGATGAGATGTATGGAACGGGCTGCACGAGTCATGACAGAACCTGCCAAATGCCTCCATATGGACATGGAGATTGCTTTCAATGATCCGACTTTGTTCAAAGATGCTGATGTCAGGATAGAGCTTGCCAATGCAGTTGAAATCAAAGCTCACAGCGCAGTTCTTAGTCGCAGATGCCCTTTCTTTGAAGGGCTATTCATCGGCCGAGCAGGTGGCTCATGGCTGAGAGATAGACGGGACAGGGCTAACGAAAATTCGGACTTAATCCGAGTTGATCTGAAGCACGTAGAAGAACAGATCTTCCGGATGGTGCTCCGACACATTTACGCAGACACTGGCGTGGAAATTTTTGACGAGGTTGTAACAGCTGGCCTTGATGAATTCATCGATTTCATCATTGAAGTCATGGCTTTGTCCAATGAACTCATGCTTGACCGGTTAACCCAAGCCTGTCAGAAAGTGCTGGGTCAATACGTGACGACTAGAAACGTCTGCCAGCTACTCAACGCCGTTGCGCCTTGTTCAGTCAACGAGTTCAAACATGCTGCCTTGGAGTACATCTGTCTCAACCTCGAGACGATGCTCGAGCACAGATTGCTCGAAGAACTAGATGAGGACTTGCTCATGGAACTGGATCAAATGGTTCAGGAAAATCAGCTGGCTTGTCTTCCATTCGCCAGAAGCGGTAGAGCTGAAGCTGAGTTGTTTGATCAGTATCCCGAACTCGTACCACAAATTGTGCAAGGAAGGCAAAGAATGGTCGATTCGCTCAGACTCCGTTCTCGTCTACTCGAGAGCGAGGATCGTGTTCTAAGTGCTCAAAAGTCGCGAGGTGCAGGACTAGAACGTGCTAGCCTGACTTCGCCTTCTTCCATCACCAGGCAGTCTGTCAAGGTCGACAAGCATATTGCCGTGGCAGATCCGGCGACGGCGTCTAAAGTACACGGTTCGGATATGCTGTTCGAAATGGATGATGGACATGAATTCGAGTGTTCGGTTGAGTCGCCAGCCCTATCCTCCACTACCGAGACCAAATACAGGAATGATGAAGCTCTACCAGACAACGTGCCTCCGCTTCCTCATTGGCAGCACGCACCGCGTGGGCCTGGGAACAGTGTTCATTCCAAGCCCCAAGGCCCAGCAGGGAGCCCAAGCGGCTCGTCGCTTCGCCAAGATCGTTTATCAACTTCAACTTTGGGGAAGCATCCTGGTGTTTTGGTCGACAAATCAGCAGGCACTGAGACGTTCGTTAAAGCGTGGGATAGTCCTTTAGCTGGTCCTGTGAAAACGAACTTTCAGGACATCATGGCGCAAACGGCCTCGAAGACGTCAAATCTCACGCTAGCAATCAATCACAGAGATGCACAAATGAAAAGAGCTCCACAAAGGCAGTCGCAAAGGGAACGAAAGAAGATTCAACATCAACAAAGCCAGGAAAATGTCCCTGGTCCTCCCAATGAGGTACTTAGCAACCCCGACTCACCCATTTCTTCACATAAGCCAAAGTCGCCATGGCAAATAGTTCCAAAGGGACCAAGGTCTCCGTCTTCCCAAAAGGAACCTCCTCATGATTCTTTTTCGCAACACGCAAGTCCTCGACCTGCAATGACAATGCGACAGACTGTCGCGGGTTCTTCTACGACCCCTAGAGAGATTACACCAGCCAAACCGAAACCTCATCCTCGAAGTGTCTCCATACCTAGTGTAGGACGGTCTTCTGAGCCCAAACCACAGATTCAGTCAATTCGCCATACTTCTGCCACACCTACCGTCTCAAGCTCTCCATTAAGCGCTTATCATTCAATGGCCGATATACTTGCGCAACAACAGGGCGAAAAGACAGCCATCAAAGACGCCGTAGCGAAAAGATCGCTGCAGGACATTCAACAGGAGCAGGAGTTTCAGGAATGGTGGGACACTGAGGCCAAGAAGGTGCAGGAGGAAGAGCAAGCTTCTGCCGCTGCGGCAGCGAGGGCGACGGCGAGCAGAGGAGAAGGGGGCAGAAGAAGGGGTGGGCGCAGGAAAGGTAGTGGCAGGGGTGGAGGTGGAGCATCCTCGAATGACCCCGAGATTCGGACGGCGGTTACTGCCGGCCCTTCGCAAGGTGATGACAATGCTAGAGGGCGATCTGAGAAGAAGGCGAGAGGAAAGGGGGAAAGAGGGCATGGTCGAGGCCATTAGCATAGCCAACGTCTTGCGGCAACGTTTATTTTCTTGTACATAACTAGCTGTGGATATTGATGACGTCGCAAGAAGCAAGAAGCAAGAAGCAAGAAGCAAGAAGCAAGAAGCAAGAAGCAAGAAGCAAGAAGCAAGAAGCAAGAAGCAAGAAGCAAGAAGCAAGAAGCAAGAAGCAAGAAGCAAGAAGCAAGAAGCAAGAAGCAAGAAGCAAGAAGCAAGAAGCAAGAAGCAAGAAGCAAGAAGCAAGAAGCAAGAAGCAAGAAGCAAGAAGCAAGAAGCAAGAAGCAAGAAGCAAGAAGCAAGAAGCAAGAAGCAAGAAGCAAGAAGCAAGAAGCAAGAAGCAAGAAGCAAGAAGCAAGAAGCAAGAAGCAAGAAGCAAGAAGCAAGAAGCAAGAAGCAAGAAGCAAGAAGCAAGAAGCAAGAAGCAAGAAGCAAGAAGCAAGAAGCAAGAAGCAAGAAGCAAGAAGCAAGAAGCAAGAAGCAAGAAGCAAGAAGCAAGAAGCAAGAAGCAAGAAGCAAGAAGCCTCCCAATTCTGTTCAATCCAGATGCCAATCGCAATTGCCCATGGCCCTGCTGTTTTCCAATGTTACACTGATCTTACGCTGATCCTGGCTTCTATCTGTCAGCCTCGTCCAAGGCAAAATTCATTGTGCAGCCTCAGTAACTACCCAATTCCTGACGCAGCCTAGCGCTGGGATCCCAGCTTTCAGCTCTGCACAGACGAGGGAGATTGGGGTGAGAGAGCTACAAATTGCTCATATTACCTGCATTTCCTGTATTACCTGCACTACCTGCATTTCTGCCTGGTGATGCCTTCTAGCTCTTAGTATATAGCCATTTTCCCTCATCGTGAAAAAATGTTCCCTTCTTCCTTTCTTGTTACCGAACACTACTATATATCTCTAGCGTTGTGCTTCTCTTATTCTTTTCTTCACATCTCTGCACAAGACTCTCAGTCATGTCGATGACAATCTCCAAAGCCATTCTCCTCCTCTCTATTGCTTGGGCAGTCTATGTACTATGGATTGTCCCGTATCAGAACGGTCTCCTGACGGCTGCGCTCGACATGCAAAAGCCAGGCACAAATCTTCCAGGCTCGAAACTGGTGCCTGCGCGACACCATTACACCGGTGTTAGAGTTTTGGATAACCAGATAAAAACCATGACTGGCTTTTTCTGGCCTGCCTTAGACGGTAGTCGGGCCGATGTCTCGCTTGTATTTCTCGAGATTGCGACTCAGGCTATGGCAACCTGGATCTTGGTGACTATCGAGAGTTTACGGGTGGGGAACAAAGGGAAGTGGTATATCAATTCGTAAGTTTCTGGCCACGTTGACAGCACACCTGGACTTATACGTTATGATCATCTAGTGTCATGATCGCCGGCGTTCTGATGCAGAACCTGGGCTATGGGCTGATAGTCCCGCTGTGGTTATATTTACACCTTGCCGCCTCATCCACCATCAACACCGCAACAGCAGCACCGTTAATATCATCCAATCCACTACCTCTTTTGACCCTCCCGCTCAGCACCATCCTTGCCTTCTTTCTTCCTAACTTGCTCATGTCGCTCTCACCTCCTCATCGTTTCTGCCCGGACAACTCCACCAAGCAGTTGTACGTCGCCATTTGTCAATTCTGGCCTGTCCTGATGTCTGTATCCCAATTCATCCTCCCGATCGCGATATCAGCTACGACACCAGGCATCAACGCCTTGTCCGAACGTGATAAAAAGCTCAAATCGCTCAAGTACCTTCGTCGGAGCTACATCTTCGCATTTGCCTCCACCACGTTGTCCCATTTCGTCGCTGTTGGCATCCCACTTCTGGCGTACCTTTTCCCCACGCTGTTCAGCCCCATTTATATGCGACAGCTGCAGCTCTCCAACGTATTCGTGCCAAAATCACCGCTTCCGCCAGTTCAGTCCATCTCCACTTTTGCAGATGGCGCTCTCACATTCATGCAATGGGACCTAATCATCGGCTCGTTGGCAGTATTGGTCTGGGCCCTTACGCTAGCAATTCAGGCTCAACGGACAAGACTTTGGGCGTTTGAGTGGCTCGACGGCCTTTTGAAAGCGGCGGCTTTAGTGTGCGTGAGCGGGCCAGTGGGGGCGGCGGTTGTGATTATCTGGGAGAGGGATGAGATGGTATTTGGGTTGGACTTGGCAAGGGAGGAGGAGAGGAAGAGTAGATGACATGCCGAACCTGGCCTCAACAGGTGGTAGTTGAGTGAAGACGCCATAGAAGTGAGGAAGGGAACCCACCTTACATAACTCTGCTGTATTGCTTGCGCAGTGGATGTGGTTCAAAGAGGAGATGTCGATGGGTGCTGCTGGAGCAGTAGGCATTCAAGAATGGCCTGGGACGCAGCACAATCCGAGATCAGAATCAGCTTGAACGAGGAATGTTTCAGGCGTGAAGTTAGTCGCTCTCTAAGCCACAGTGCCATACGAAATAGGCGACCTCATAGAGACATTGTACCCAAAGTTTTCATTCTTTTTTGGCTCTACAGATATTGCCCGATTTGGACTAGCTTAGCAACCGTGGCATAAAAGCTTGTCACCCAATAACTTTTGAACCGCTACCCAAATGAACAGTCTGTCTTTTCCATTAACATCTAGATGCCGAAAAGGAAAAGAGAGGAGACCGACCTAGACCAAGATCATAAAGATGATGATCGCGCTCTCAGGATACGCAAAAGCCGCCTTGTGGCCCAAGTAGACCAGGGCAACATCCTCCTGCACCGAGCATTGAAAGTAGCACGAGGTTTCGAGAGGCAGAAACTTGGTCGACGACAGAAAGCCGCCAAAGAGAATCCCCAAGCTCTACTTCGGCTCAAGGAGGAGGTCATTGTGCTCAAGCAGTTGGATTTGGCCGAGACGGCACAGAATTATCTGTTCAAGCAACTTGTTCGGACGAAGAGGATTAGAGAGGCACCGGCTTTTGTGGCTCTTCATGGAGAGGGGCTGGAAAGTAAAGTCAAGGGCGCCAGAGCCGGAGCGGAAGCAAATGTTGTAGGAAGACTTATGAATTCTAATCCTGTCAAAGAGGTCTTGCCGGGGATTATGAGTAAGGTTTACAGGTGCTTGGGCTTGGCCGAAGTTCCTGTCGCTACGAAGGTTAAGAATGAGATCGAGGGAGATGCTCCACCTGGCCATCTGGAAGTGAGGAGATTTGGCTCTGAGACGGACAGTAGGACAAGTTCGAATTGGGAGGGACTGTCTCCTACTGGAGCAGATCATGACTCGGGCGTATCCGCTGCTAAGTCTCGTGAGAGATGTACGGCAGAATATGACGATTTGGTTGCTGCATCATTGGATTCTCAGTTCGTCGATTCCAATGGGGGTATGGCACGGTACGGGCATGCTCTAGCGTCATCAAGTGCCTCAGGTCATTCATCGGATGGTGAAGAGGACGAAACCTCTAGGAACAGGATGTTCGACGTCGACCGAAGACTTCCCGCGGACCGGGCACCGTCACTCTCCCCATCATCCTCCCTATCACTATCTCGCTCCCCATCTCCACCACCCTCAAATCCCACCACCCTTCCACACCTCAAACCACCGATACCTGCACCACCACCGCAACCACGCACCACGTTCCTCCCTTCCCTGACCTTAGGCGGCTATTTCTCTGGCTCAGATACCGACTCCAAGTCTAACTCCTCATCCAACTCCGACGTCAATCAATTTCGTAAGCGAAACTCACAGGGTCCCACTGCCGCACTCCCTCAGCCGCGCAGAAACCGCCGAGGCCAACGCGCCCGGCAGCAGATCGCTGAGAAGAAATATGGTAGGGCCGCTAAGCATTTACAGAAGCAGCAGCAACAAGTACATACCATGCGAAGTCGGGGACAAGAGAGTGCAGTGAGCAGGCATAGAGATGAGGGTTGGGATGTCAGAAAGGGCGCTACCACCTCAGAAGGGGCTTCATATGGTAGAAGCAGAGCCAGTGGCCGGCAGGAAGGAAGACGCTTTGGGCTGGGAAGCAAGGGACCTACAGGAGCGAATAACGAAGCCATCACCGGCAAGGACCGGACCCAGAGGGACCAGAATAATGTCCATGACAGCACCAGAGTTAATGGGAACGCAGAGGGACCACTCCACCCGTCTTGGGAAGCGGCCAAGAAGCGGAAGGCGCAGACTCAGAAAGTGACGGCGTTGTTTCAGGGGAAGAAGATCACGTTTTGATTGAGATTGAAGTCATTTAAGGGCCGTTAAATGTAGATGATAGCCACACTGGATAGGCACCACCAGGACGGCAGGAAGGCCTAGCCTGGCATGTCTTGACTAATTGACGCTGAGGTATAGTATCCTATGCTGGTGTGATCAACTGAGGGTTATTGCTCCAGTGTGGTATTGACAGCAGGAGTGCACAGGTCTGTACCGTGGGTAAGCTCTTTGACAGGTGGGCTGGTACCGTTCTTCTACCAATATGATACCAATTGAAGGTGGACCTCAGTGTCAAATATTGTCGAGATGGCAGCCACACTTTCTGGACGATATTACATCTCGATGGACCTTTGGAATGGACGTTTGTCATATGTATGATGGCACACGGAGCACCTAGAGCACTCCCAGCGACTCCCCTTTAGAATCAACGGTTGTGACATACGTGAGTTCGTAAGGACCGTCTATTCGAGCATTGTTGCAACACACCTCTCACCATACATACACCAGGTCCATAATGGATATCAAGCCGGCCGCCGAGTGCGATAAAGAGCACTGGATGCCCCCTCGTGGGTGCGCCTCCCAATCAGAAATGCGCGCAGACCTTCGACACTTGTCGGATAGCGCGCCAGATGCTTGTTGGTCAGACACGATCTAAACAAGGTTCAACGTGAAGCTAGTCCAATGGACAGCATCAGCCGCTGTGTGTAGAGTTAGTGAGCCAAACTTCACCTCTCGCACTGTGCCAAACCTGCTGAGGGGCTCAACAAAGGATAAACGATGTGCCTTGGATTTCCTGTCTTGCAGGGCCCACATGTGTTTGTTTGCCAGGAACAACTGTATCAAATCGGCCGTGTGGTTCATGGCCCCGACGGTTACCATGGCTTGGGATCGAGATTGTGGCGCCAGGACGGGATTGTCTTGCCAGTTTCTCTGACACATCGTACCATCCATGGACGTCAATTGGACCCAGGCGTCTTCGAAGTAGATCGCGGCTTGAGCGATCTGCTTGAGCTCGGATACATTCCATCCCCAACCCGCTTGTTTGACGCAGATCATGGAAGACCAGCTTGACTTGATCTTGTGGTGCGTATCTAGATATCCCCATGTCGCTCGGATGTGTTGTACGCACTCGGGTGGGCCTAAGATAGGTCCGTCATCCTTGAACCAGGGGGAGTAAAGCAATATACGTCCTATAGCAGATCAGTTCGATGGATTTTTCCACCTAGACCTGTCCAAAACTGTCGGCAGATGGGAATCACTCACGACTGACTGAAGTGGTAGGCACATCGAGATCCCCGTTCCCGAGGTCGAACGACCTCATCTGCCATCGAGAGTCCACCCACCATTTTGATCCGGTAGGCCCCATTCGAGGATGAGTGTTGAGGTCCACCCGGTCATTGTCGTGCGTTATGGTCTGGTCCAGAAAACTCCCTATGCTGTCTGCCGATTGCTCCACTCTTCTCATACGGATATCGAGTTCTTGCTTAAAGGAGAATTTGAGCATCTCCATGCCTGGAACTGTTGCTGAATGGGCAGCCTGCAGTCCAGTTGAAGCGCCTTGAGGAGTCCGGGAGCCTCTCTCAGCGTGTGAAGGTGCGAGCGGAGAGTTAGCCATATGAGCCTGGGAGAGAGTGCTTGTCCATGTGGTGACGTGCGGACGAGACATGTGTTGTGCAGTGGAGCTGACTGGAAGAGCTCGTGTAGGAGAAATGCGTGGAGGAGCTGCTTCCTGGGTAGTCGCTGGAGTAGGCATGTTGTGTCTAGCCGAACCATCTTGAACTGCTTGTGAACGAGGGTTGTGCACAAGGCCGGTCGTGTGCAGATCCGCTAGACCAATCGCTCGCCCTCCGTTCGAACGACCTCGAACCTCCTGGAGCTTGCGTGGCCCATCCTCAGTACCTTGGTGGGCTTGCCCAGATGATACTGTGCGTTGTTGAGAATGCCGTTGCTGGGGTGGAGTGCACCCGCCGGCATCTTCAACTGAGCAAACGAGGATCTTCCAAAGTGAAAGGACAAAGCAAACTCAATTACGGAAAACGGAAGGAGAGAAGTATCGACTGAGACGAACGGTATTCGTCCTTGGGTGCATTGGCTCACCATGAGAAGTGCTGTATGATAGCTGTCCCATACTCTGTAAACCGAGACAGTATGAGACTCATGGCGGCGGCGGCGTGCGTGGGCTCAACATGTTTTGAAAGCGCGTACAAGTATATCCGCGAATAGACCAGAGACTCACCTAACGACCAAATAACGATTTTATTTCTGGTGAGTTCGACCCTGGCTGTTTGCAAGCTATCTCAAGTACCTTGCGAGGAGTATGTATCTTGATCACATTCATGACGACTCAGAACAGTGAGCACGGACAGTGAGCATAGAACAGCGTCAGCACATCACCAAGGAAATTAAGATTTTGCCTTACTACCATCAAATAAAAAAAAGGAAATTCAAGGAGAATGGATAACATGCTCACTATACTCCGTAAGTTAACGTGAATATGCCTTGCCAATCATCCCCCTTTTCCGGGAAGCAATCCGCGCAAAAACCTCTTCGTAAGAGGCAGCTCTCCCAAACACCAGAACCGAAATCTATCCAAACATATCTACTCTGTACAATCTTCTCCAACAGACACACCCCTGCCGATCTCTATCTCAACAACCGACCAACAACAAAGCCACCGCTGACACAACGCCGAGCACCGACAATGTCGAAGCCTCCAACCTCCTCCCGGCCTTCCCCTCGGGCACATTCCCCGTCGCTCCACCACCCAGATACCAACTCCCAATATCCGTCAACTCGCCGTCCTGCGTCAAGAACGCCGCATTCGCACCCACATTACTCTTGCTGGACCTGAAAGCGCCGAAATAGCTGTATCGCTCCACATACTCCAAGCGATCAAAATACTCGGCAGACATGTTATAAAACGCCTGTGTTTCTTCCAGTTCCGAATGCGAAAGCGCATACTCGGTGATCCACATGGGGAGAGAAGGGTAGAGCGAGCGCACCTGGCCCATGTGGGAGGCCAGCCCCTCGAAGTTGCCGTACCAGTGGATGGGGATGAAATCGGCGGCACAGCCTTCGTCGGCGTTTAGGGCGGCGCACGGCCCGTTGAAGTTCCCCAGCCATTCAATCCCGCCCGGTGAGCCGGTCACTGCAGGTAGACCGACTTTGACCCCGTGGTCGTCGCGGAGAGGCTTGATGTTGCGGAGCCAGGTGTTTGCGGCGGCGTCGGGAGATAGGTTGGAGCCGCCCGTTGCGCTGCTACCGTCCGGCTCGTTGTAGGCGAGGATGTGGGTTATGTTGGCGCCGGAGGAGAGTTGCGATGTTATGCTGTCGAGAAAGGAGGTGTCGTCTGAGGTGGGCGAGGGGGGCGCGCCCCAGAGCATGGGCACGAAGGAGAGGTGGGAGGCGGAGGCGAGGGCGGCCGTAGGGGTGTAAACGTAGTTGTAGTACCAGCTGAGGTCGTTGGATGGTCGGGCCCAGATCTCGTCGTCAGACGGTGATGCGGGGGTGACATAAACGATGCCGCGTTTCGAGGAGGGCGCGGCGTGGACGGTAGTGACTGTGGATGACAGGTAGAGCAGGGACGTGAGGAGAGGTAGCGACCGGGTATGCATGGCGATGAGATTTGCTGGATGTCAAGGTAGAGATCTCCGGCACCGGACACGAATGAACTCAGACAAACAATGAGTATATCCTGCTGCTGCTGCTGCTGCTGCTGCTGCTCCCACACTCAACGGCTAGAATGAAAAAGAAAGACAGCACACACAGTTTGGAATCACAAGCGAGTGACTGAAGTAAAACAACGACGACTGACTGCAGTAGAATTACGAACAATATCTCTCCGGGTAGGTCATGAGCGCAGCAAGAAGGTAAAAGACAATGAAACCACCATCGAGAAGCAAGAGATTGTCAGCAGGGACTGGAGCATATCGCCGCAAATAGATTTGACGCGAGCCAAAGAGCGGACTCGAAAGCCAATATGGAAGAGTGCCTACGTAGTAAACTTAATCGTGTCTTGGACGATCCCAAGAGGGCGATTTCGCCAATTTGGTGAGGACTAAGAGTGGCGTCTGCACCGGAAAGGGAGACTTTTTAACTTAGCGGCAGCGAATTTTGTTGAGATGGTCCCTTTAGGCCGAGACCCAAGGACCAAGGACCTGGTACAGAGGACTAGCCCTTGGCAGTCTGCACAGTGAAGAAAATGGAATAATATCTGCAAGATCATCAAGATGTGTTGACAGGATAGGAGCAAGCTGTTCTGTTAGAGACACGTGCAATAAGCAGAAACAAAAAACAACGATTAAGTGAATCCATTGATCAAGAAATCTATCTGGTATATCCCAACTTTGTGCAATTGCAGGTCATGAAAGCCCAGTCGTCTCGAAAACACACATGCTCACTTGCACTCGCGCTCCCCATGCTGGGCAAAAACTTTGATGCGCCATCCTGTTGCCACTTCGAAAAAGCAGACAGACTACAACGACATCACCGAGCAATTGCCGAGTATCTTCGGCCGTCTAGGTCTACCGTCGGTAACGTTGCTTGCCTACCCACAGGAGGCGGTGATCGGCTGTCGTAACTGCCATAACTATCCCGACTGCGTTCACGCACAATAGGTGCGGCTCCTTTCATGAGATTGCTGTTGGAGTCCTGATACACAAGACCTCGTTCTCGGTAAGGCTCGTACACGCCCGGTCCAAGAGAGCTGGACATGCGCTTCTGCCCCTGTGATTTGTAACCTGTTGGTTGCATGAGGATCGAAGTCCGTCCATCGAGTGGTGTGAGGTCGTCCAGATCCCGAAGGTTTTCTGCCTCCTTACGGCGTCTTCGATGAGGGTTCTCCCTGACACAAGTAATGATGGCATTGACTGCAATGAGGATGGCAAGAATGACAGTCAAGGTGCACTGAACGGCGATCAAGATGACTCCGGTGATCGTCTTGGTTGTTTTGGCAATGCCGAGTTCGGTGACGAATACCAAAATGCAGACAACCGAGAGCACCCGTACAATTTGAATCACGATGTTGATCCAGTTCCCGGACTTCCGGTCGTAGGGTCTGCTCCACACTAAAAGCGCAAGCATGACTACCTCGATGAAGAGTTGACCGCCAGTCTGAACGAGGCCATGGCCGTCTGCAGAAGCCAAAACGCAGCCTTTGGCGAACATGTAAACGATTACTGGTATGAAGAGCCACCAGTATCCTCGCTTGTAGTTCTCGTAGAAGATTTTGTACTTCTTCCAGGTTTCCTTATGCTCGTACAAGGCACCCGCATCTCCTTCACTTTTCTTGAATCTTCTTGCAACCTGCCAGATGCGGAACGTCCAGTATCCCAAAATGCCGGTAAAGGCGCCGAGAGTGATACCGGCCAAGATTTTAGCAGCCCACGAGTCTCCACGCGTGAACTGGAAAATACTGTATAATGTCCATACACCATAAAGGAGGAAGATCAAATTAGTAATCGTCTGAGCCATGATCCTCCAATACTCCTTGCGGAAGGTGGTGAGCTTCTTGGGGAACTTGCCAAACAGCGACCATGCCTCGAGAATGACTTTGAAGAGAAGGATTCCAACAGCCACCGCAGCGATCACAATCGCAAACACCAACAGCACCGTCATGAATGTGTTGGCTTCTGGCACTGAATATTGCTCAACGTATCCTTGAATACCACTCACGAACTTAGGAGTATTGGAAGTCGAGTTACCTGAATCGTCCGTCCCATTGACGGTCGTCTCGACTTGACGGATGACAAGCTCCCATCCTCGTCTTGCCAGATCGTTGGTGGTATTAGCGGTAGATCCGTCGCCGTAGACGAGGGTGGCATTCCTAAGGTATTCATAGCTGTCTTCGGTCAAATTGCCACCTGTTGATTGCCGGAAATTATCAATCGATGTCTGCATTGAGCCCCATGGGATTAAGCCAGTGCTGAAGCCAAAATTTTTCGCGAATTTCCGGTAGATTGGTGGATAGTCGACCGAGTGCATTCCGTTCATAGCCATTCCTTGGAACCAAAACATGATTTCGGTAAAGCTAGGACTCGGTGTAGACGCTCCGGGCTGGCCGGAAGCGGACAAAGCACCCAAGGCTGATAAACCAAGTGCGGCTGCCGCGATACCAGCAGCAACGTAGGAAACAGCAGGGACGTCCACCGATTTTCCGTTGCCTACCGTAGACTCGATGCAAGCAAGATTTTGACCACCTTCTTTAGCCTTGAGCTCTAACTTTCCTTCGCCTTCCAAGTCCGGAACGGAAAACGCAATCGGGGGTATTTTGTCGGTAAAACTGCTTGGTATTGATTGCGAGCCTTTGGCAGAAAACGTGCCCGCAGGGACTAAGAAAAAACCTGTCAACATTTCACCTACGTGCAATCTTCGCTGCAAACCCTTACCTGGACATAATTGATCCACTTTGGAAGCCTCATCACAGGGGTCGAATTCCCTTTGGTATACCTCCCTCCCATATGCGGAAACGACCAACGTAGCTATCACCTTCTGTTCCTTTTCGCTAGTTCCGGATACGTCGAAAGTGACTTGATTAGATGCCTTGTCGTATTCAATATCCATCTTGTTGACTCTAATTTGTGCATTGTCCAAGCAAGTGCTGAAGCCTTGGGTTCTGAGAACATCAGCTGCTAATGCTGCAGGCAGCAGAAGTAGGCTTGAAGCCTGTAATAAATGCATGATGAAAGATGTATGACCGCCCAGTCGATTGCTAACCGGTAAGCTCTTAAGCAAAGAGTGGTGTTCAGGTCCCCAAGATGAGGACTGTGGTCCGCGTGCCGTGCTCAGCCAGATGAAAATGCTTCCTGGATGTCGAGAAAGAACTCAAGCAAGTGGATTGTTGCAAGGACGAAGCGGAGACAACGAGTGGTGGTAGGAAACGAGCGGCAAAGATGTCTGAAATGGCCTTGAACGAGTAGAGAGAAGTGTCTGGAGAACAAATGTCGACCAAAGAAAACCAGCGGCCGGTTGGGCTAAGTGTGGTTTCAGGGCAGCGCGTAAGGACTTTGATTGGAGAGGTGGAGACGAAAGACTGGCGTAGTAAGTAAAAGTACAGGGGTTCTCGGCCACTGTTGGATTCTATTCAAGTGCCAGAGTTTGCTCCAAATCCGAACCTCCTCGGTGTGATATGAGAACGAGAGGAGAGGAAGAAATAAATCGAGAGATCCCTTCTCCGAAAGTGAGAGACTGCAGTGTACTTGATGGCTTAGGCCTGCAGCCACCTGTCTGGCGTTGTGGCATACTTAGTTATGTACTGCTACTATCCACGGCCATGGGAGCCTTCTTCAGGGTATGGCAACAGTGGTTCGGCACTGACAAGGGGCAAAGCGCCACTAGATCGCCTTCTGGAACCCACTGACTGGTTGTTGGGTGATAGTGGCGGCGGTCGCGGCGGAGTCGCCTTGGCCACAGTGCTATCTGAGATCTAAGCCACGTACCGCTCTGCTCGAAGTCCGTATAAGTCGTAGCTGAACTGAGGACTAACAAAGCAGTTTTTAGCTTACAATAGTACATTTTTCTTGCCATGTGCGGGCACCTCGACCATGGCATGAAAACAAATGATCCTTGCCGCATGATTGGGCTTTTCGATAATGATCGTGGCAGGAGAGGCATTTCCTCCACGCAAGAGTGAATTGTTTCTGATCTTGACCTATTTTGCTCTCGTGTAGATACACATCGTGGATTTGTGGAACGAAACAATACTTGTGATTCCTTCTTGGGTGTCATCTGAGCCGAGCCAAAATAGAACAGGTTGGCACGCGACTGTGAAGTAACTACTACGGCTACAGGCCGAAACTTTGTAACCCCTTGCTGAAAACGCTAGTATCCGTACAAAACGTACTATGTAGAACTGAGTATAGACGCCCACAAAATGGCCCATGTAGGACTGTAAATCGAGTTTAAAATCCAATTGGCATCTATAACTGCTTGATATCTTGTCTGCGTCGATTGACCCAGCTCCTTAAGATAGTCAGAAGGCACATCAGGCCCATAGTATCCGTGGAGAATTGGCAGCATGCGGAAAATGAGCAGAATTTGCAAGATGAACAAAATCTGCAAAATGGCGACAGGGATGCTGATAGGGACGTGTATGTAAAAAAGGCGTTTGTAAGATATTCTGGTGGGTACCAAACTTCCGGCCCTGTAGCCGTAGTACTACTAATAGTAGTGATTTTGACTATTTAGTACTAGTAGTACTAGCAATGCTGAAAGGTCTAGGCACCATCCAACTTCCCCTCTCGTTACCTTTCCGGCTCCCGACCTTCCAGCCCAGACCACTCCTCTGGGCCTACTGATTGGTCCTGTGATTTGCTGAAAGAGCTTGTGCTTCCATTTTCAGCTCCACTAGCTATCATTCAAGCTTAGCAACCACCAGCTTCAAGACCTCTTCCGTACCAAGGTCAGCATTCTGGGGATCTTTGGCAACACTTTGCCAGACCTCTCCATGCCTTGGTGCACTCACTACACACTTGGCTATCACGTCTTCCCGCTTCTCCTGTGGCGATGTTAGTAGAGCAAAGTATCCAAGCAGAGAAGCATATCGACTTACTTCTGTCCCATGCTGCAGCAGGAATTTGTAGTACCAGCCCCAAGTATCACCCAGAGCGCTGTCGAGCACAATAGCTTTCTCGAACCACGACATAGCTTTATCCAGCTTTCTCTCACCCCAGAATATCCGCGCAACTGTGACAAACAATATTGGATCGTTGTCGACCTTCTTGATCGCCTCTAAGCTTCTTGGCTTTCTCTGCGTCCGCGATTCCAGGTTCCATATATTCTCACTCCAAAGCAGCCCTGAGTTAGGCACATCTTGAAGCGCCTTCGCCATTAGTACTTTTGCCTGCGCAATGTTGTTTGCACGTCTTTCGACCCGCACGCTCTCGGTCCATAGCTCGGCATTCTTGGGCACAGCGAGTCGCCCTTGGTCCAGTATCGACCTGGCTTTGACAATGACCCCAGATCTCTCTTCAAGGCGAGCTGCTAACAATCGAAGCGGAACCGATTTGGGACATGCTCGCAGTCCTGTGCTGTATGTTTGACGCGCTTGTGGCACCTGACCCTGACTTTCGTAAATCTGTCCTTTCATCATCCACAGCTTTGCCGCTTTAGGGTATATTTGGAGACCTTGATTCACGAGATCTAACGCGCGCTCGTTTGTACCGTACTGCCGTTCAAAAGCAACGCTCTTGATCCATATTCGGTCTGTACCGGCTTCTTCACGAGCCGTCGATAGCACTTGGCGCGCCGCTTCGATTTGTTTCGCATCCGTCTCCAGCTTTGCCGCAGCAAGGAAAATGTTCTCGTTGTCGATGTTTTGTTTGAAAGCTTGGGCGAGAATTCTGCGCGCACTGTCAATCTCCCCAGCTTGCCACTTCTCCTTTGCAAACTGCATCCATAACGTCTCGCTCTGAGGGCACGCCTCGACAGCCTTTTCCAGAAGCTGCCACAGGGCTTCTTTCGTCCCATGATTCTGTTCCAGGTCGGCAGCAGCAAGCCAGATGTCTTTCTTGGTCGGAAATACTCGTAATGCATATGCATACATTGCTCTTGCTGTCTCGTACTTACCATGCCCAATGCTCTGCTTTGCATCGTCCATCCAGATCTTGACCCGATCATCATCTTCATCCAATGTCCAACCTAAATTTTCTCGAATGATGGCACCACAAGTCAATATGGCCCCCTCTTCTTCGCATTTCTCGGCTTCGGCTATCCATTCTTCACGCTTGAGCATGGCTGACTCCTTGGCCAGTGCTTGCACGGCACGTTTCATGACGTTGATTTTGTCATTACCCATCTGTTCCTGCAGTCGAGCAGCTGCAACCCAAATTTCGTGACTAGTAGGGACTGCTTTTCGCGCCTTATTCAGAACTGCTTGGGCCTTTTCAGGCGTCTCCAGCCTCGCTAGTGCAAGCCAAAGCTCCACGGACAGAGGTATTATGTCGGTAGCTTTTGCAAGTAGCAAGCGTGCATCTGCCGGGTCCTCTTCAAGATTCACAGCTTCTTTCCAGATAGCAACGGACTGCGGAATGTGATCGATAGCCTGCCGCAGAACTCTTTTCTTGGCCCTGGCATCAGCCTCCAGCTTCATGGCTTCGATCCATAATCGGGTTGATCGGTCATTATTCTTGATGGCGTTTGCGGCGATGATTTTGGCATTGTGATTGTCGTTGAGCCTAATGTTCTCAAGCCAGGCGTCTTCACTCTTGGGGCATTGCTCGCATCCTTGAGCAATAAACTTTCGTGCTGATACAATCTTGCCTGCTATTTCTTCCAGACGAGCAATTGCGATCCAACCCGGTGCATGCTTTGGATTGGTCTTGATGACTGATTCGAGCAAGGCCCTTACTCGTTTGATATCGCCAATTTCAACCTCGCCCGCCTTCAATTCTGTCTGCGACAGACTTGTAAGGTAGCCTTTAGGATCAATGTTTGTAGCAATACCAGTACCTGCATCAGTGGAGGTCCCCTGAGCGGCCTGATCCAGCTTAACCCGTAGCACCTTGTCACGAGCAGCACCAATTTCTGCAAAATTGGTCATTGTGCCATCTGCCTGGTCTTTGCTCGAGCCGTTGGTCTGAGTACCGTCGTCCTGTATGCTTGTCTCAAACTGCGTGGCATCTCTTGCACCAGCGATCACAGAGTCTGGTACAGCGTAGAACCTCTGCCGTAGATTTTGTTTGGCCCTTCGATTCTTTCCTGTAAGATCTCCTACTTCGGGTATATTTGCCCAGTCACCATCTGATACTGTCGCTAATGATCGTTTTAGGTCGGCGAATTGTTGTTGTATCTTCGGATTGTTGCGCTCGTATTCCTCTCGTTCTAGCTTCTCTCGTGCTTCCCTGTGGGTATCGAGAAGGTTCAAGTCGGCAATCTGTACTTCAAAAGAGGGGAAAGATAAACCATTGGTTTTGCCAAAGGGGCATGAGGGGTGTGGAACGGGATTAGGGGAAACTAACCTCCTCATCTTACGCCGCCTATCCATCTTCTCGTCCACATCTTGGTATATCCTATCAGCTTCATCGTCGTCCCTGTCGTACGTACCGTACGCGAATAAGCCGACCTCGTTTTCCGGATCCTGAAACCGCTCATCATCGTCATCGTGTTCGTCTTCTTTCTTCTTATCAGGAGCACCATATGCTGTTGGAGGCGCGGCACCAAGTTGTTGCGCTCTTTTGGCGAGTGCTTCCTGTATCTGTTCAGGTGTAGGACCTTCTCTCGCTGGTCCAAGATCCGAGCGTGTGGTGAATCCGGTTGCGCCGCGACCGAGGCCGGCTACATAGTTTTCAGGCGCCTGCTGATTCAAAAAATCTCTGCGCGACGCCATCAGAGAAACAGCAATGACAGTTGTCAAGGTGGAAATCCCACTTGTTCGTCTGGTTGAAGAGCAACCTCGAATGAGTGATATGACACAATACGGGCGGCTCTGCCTAATTTTAAAGCTTAAAATCGTGCCTAATTGTCTCTCCGCATAAGCCGCGGTTCGGGCATTACTGACTGCCCCAAATTTGATACGGTGCGAAAAAGTGTGCTTATATTTCTCCTCGAAAGCAAATTAAAACAGGCACAAGATATTCAGACCTGGTACCATGCCGAAAATAATGTCTAAGAAGCGCTCGAGCGCCGCCATGTCGAGTCCCTACATCCTTCCTCCTTCCCGACAGCAGAGTGCAAACAGCATTTTCAAAATGAACACAGATATAGGCCAGCACGTACTCAAGAACCCTGGGGTTGCGCAAGCCATTGTCGACAAAGCTGGCCTCAAACAGTCAGATATAGTTCTGGAGGTTGGACCCGGTTCAGGGAACCTGACAGTCAAAATTCTGGAACAATCGAAGAAGGTCATAGCAGTGGAGTTGGATCCGAGAATGGCCGCTGAGGTGACAAAACGTGTTCAGGGGACACCATCTCAGAAGAGATTGGATGTGGTATTAGGGGATGTTATCAAGACTGAACTGCCATATTTTGATGTCTGTATATCCAATACTCCATACCAGATCTCGTCCCCATTGGTCTTCAAGCTGCTAGCCTTGAGCCCAGCACCGAGAACGTGCATTTTGATGTTTCAGAGGGAATTTGCAATGCGACTCTTCGCCAAAGCAGGGGACAAGTTGTACTCAAGATTGAGTGTGAATGCGCAGATGTGGGCTAAGATAGATCATATCATGAAAGTGGGAAAGAACAACTTTAAGCCCCCTCCAGCCGTGGAATCCAGTGTGGTACGGTTAGTGCCGAAGAATCCTAGGCCGCAGATCAGTTATGAGGAGTGGGACGGTTTGCTCAGAGTGTGCTTCGTGAGGAAGAACAAGACTCTCAGGGCAAGTTTTCTAGGAGTAACAAGCGTGCTGGATCTGTTAGAGAGCAATTATCGGACTTGGTGCGCGCAGAATGATATATCACTTGAAGAAGGATCAGCAGAATCGGGCTTATTGGAGACAGAGAATGTACCTGGGCCAGCAGCGGAGGACGGGGAAGAAGAGGAAGAATGGGATGGTATCATGGACATTGACGATGATGACGATCTCCCAGATTTCTTTAAAGAGCAGGCCATTGCAAAGGCGAACAAGGTGAACGGGACAAAAAGAAAGAAGAGAGGCAAAGTGACAGAATTGGTCAGGGAGAAGGTCCGTTCAGTACTTGAAGACAAGACTGGTCTGGCTGATAAACGAGCACGAATGTGCGATGAGGGCGATTTCTTGAAATTGCTCTGGGCGCTGAATCAAGAAGGCATACATTTCAGTTGAGGTCCCGTCTCCGGCTGTCAAGTCATGGAAAAGTATTGTACTCTGGTCACACCAGTGCATTAGGATGGCCCCAGAGAGCCACAAGCTGGTGAGTCGGTCCTTGAACTTTTCAGGTGAGCACTGCTGCCCGGATATAAGCTGTGCCACATAAAAGCCTCGCTGAGTAACAACTCAAGATCTTTCTCATTCCATTCCCGAGTCGGCAACGCCTGCAAGAACATCATTACTTCTTGAAAATCCATCCTCACAAGTTGCTCCGACCATTTTACTAGAAATGCTGCACAAACATAAATGTGGAACTGAGAAAAGCCTTGCTCTTCCGACTTTGGAGAGGTTAGCAGTGAAATTTGTTCCAAGGCATTGTATCCGAGACCTACCAGGTATGTATCCCACATCCGAATCGTGTTCCTAATACTCAGTTCTCTCATCAATAGACAGTTCATCCATCGGAAACTAAACTGCATAAATTCAACACCCTCTGCCTCCAAATGCCTGGCTAGTCCGGCGTCGATACGCGCCGTCAAATCATGCAGCGCCCTCACTTGCCGGTGAATACCAGGTTGGGCGTGGATATAATTGTCCTGAATGCCATCCAGAAGCTTCGTCAAACACCAGAATGAATCTGCTTCGACAGCGTCGAGTACAGGTTTTGGAAGCTGACCGGGATCCATACCGTCCTCGATATCAAGGTCTGTTATATAGGCGCCCAGGAACACTTGCCAAAACGGTGTGACCAAATCATTGATTCCCTGTACATACCCGCTGGCTGGATGTCGAATAGCCCAGACATACAAGATCCTCTCTAAAGACTTTTGCGTAGCTTCAAAGCCATAAAGAGGAATGTGTGGATTCGTCCGAGGTACATCAATACTAATCTGATGCCAGATCGCCTCGTCGAGACCTCTTCCTCTACCAGCATTTATTGGTGCATTTGACGCGAGACCGGCGAGGCCAGTGGAGGAGGATTGGTGGCTATTCACTGTGCTAGTGTCGAAAGCTTGACGAACACCATCTAGATATTCTCTTCGCTTTCTTTCTAATGTAGACATTCTCCGCTCGCTAGTCGTTGGAAGATAGCCTAACAGAAGCTGCCAAGTCATGGCCCGTACTTCTTCAGGGACACCTGACCAGGCCAGAGCTCGCAATTCTGAGAGCGAAACAGAGCTAGCCTGTAAAATCCGCTTAAACTTATTGATACGTGATATCCTTGCGGAATGAGCTTCAGTTTCCCTGGCAGAGGCCGTCGATAGGGGCGGTGGATGTTGAATTAGGTGTAATGAGTTGGCCGGATCTCTCAATATTTCCTTATACTGCGGCCGCAGGATCTTCCCATCCCCCATTCTGGTGCTCGGATAAGCAAGAGGGTTTCTCTCCTCAGCAATGTCGAAGCTGTTCGAGCGGAGATGTGGTGGTACAGATGCTACACCAGGGGCAGATGCTGGCTCTGACAAGCGACTATAATCTCGAGCGCCTCCTGGATCTCTCGTCTGCCCAGGTCTGGCTTTATTGCTTCGCCCACTCCTAATGTTGGCTATACTGGGCAGGCCAAATTCATCTTCGTCCTCATCAAATCCAACACCATCTTCGTCCTCATCTGACTGTTCATTCTCGGCCGGAGAGTATAATGCTGTTGCAGGGGTACTAGAATAAGGCTGACGATGCGGTGAAATCAATCGACCAGCACTCAATGGTGGAGTAGGAGATCTTGCTGTGGATATAGTTGGAGGCGTCCTTGGCCTAGAACTAGATCCAAGAGACCTAACTCATCTTCAGCTAATGCCTCGGAGTGAAAAACAATCAGCCTACAGAGTATCGAATTTGAGCATGTCCGCATGAGAATATGATGCTCCAATCACTGTGTTGGACTTCGTGGAAGCTTGCCGTGCAGGACTCGGTCGACTCCGCCAGAAGGGTGAGGAAGATCTCCTTCATGGTTGTCAGCTTCGCCTCCTGACATCGTGAAATCATTGAAGAGCGGACATACTCTGTCCGATCTAGAAGAAGCTTGAGTCAGCTGGGTTACATGCAGGCAGGACATTGTGCAGGAAACTGGGAACAGCTTTGACATTGTGAGTTACGGGTTTGGTAATAAGAGGTACGGACCGACCTGAACCATTTCCTGAATGCATACAATGTCAGCTTCGAGCATACGAAGCATTCCATGGACAGCAGGAATACCTGTTGAGGGAGCTTCTTGCCTGCCATGGCTTGCCTAACACGACTGAACAAACGCTAGAAGCAGACTTGCAGCAAGATCATGTCCAGAGCATACTGCACAGAATCTTCAGGCACATCTTAGCATAAGCGGACGGCGACCTTTCAGAAGTTTTAAGTAGAAGAATTTCTAGAGTAGAGCATTCAGTTCATGACATACATATGTACAACATTCCTCCAAGCTACTAGTACGAGTACAGCGGCAACGGGGATCCAATAGGTGCTAGCTCCTTGGCACGCTATGGTGCTTCCGACCGTTGACCAGGCTCCGTGGCTCTTTTTCAAGCAGATATCTCGTCTACCACACACTGCCATCGAGAATCTTTACTACCGGCGCTGGTCGTTAGTCCTCTACAGGGTCCAAGCGTGCCTTCTTCACGGCCACCATTTGTGTCTCAACCGTACTGGCTTGTGAGATCCCGTCTTCCTGCTGAGCTGACGCGCTACTTTGTTCTCACTTTCCTCTCATTCCTCACTACCTCTAGCTTTTGGCGTTTCATGATGACTGAGCCAGAAGATCTTGAAGAGGACCTCTTTGCCGATCTGTAAGTGCTCTGTCGCACTCGGCCTCGATATACATTGACATTACATGACTTAGTTATGATGGGGACGATGCTACAGCTCCAGCCACCCTAGCCTCCTCCAATAACAATATTGCTCCTAACAAGAACCCCCCGGCGCAGAGTTTCTCAGCTCCTGAAGAAGAAGAACCTGACACCACATATGTGCCTCCATCATTTGAGCCCGTCGAAAGCCATCAAACAAATGGTAGGGATGCTCAAAATGGCGCAGCTGGGATCAGTGGTGGGCGTGGGCAAGATCGCGACGATGTCAGCATGAACAATGAGCCTTTTGGTTCTGGGATTAAGGAAGACGGGTAAGCGAATTATGCATTATTTCCTTGGTTGTGTCGAGTTTTCATTGTCTGAATATCGCTTGTTGTATCACAATTACTTTCCCAGATTCCTGGATTACTCAACGAGACACTTTCACGTGACGCTGGAGACGTGAACTTGGTAAGGAAGGTGTGGCTAGCAAGTAGCTTGGGAAAGACAAGCCGGAAACTGTTAAAAGAGAACTAGTTGGTGTTTTACAACGAAACCTCGTGGGAGCTGCTTTACTACAACAACAACAACGACTGGCTCTTCAAATTGTCGGGTCAAGTTTTTTGCATGGTATCGTACAAGAAGAGAACTCTACGAGCAATATGTGCATACATCATGATCCCGGAAGATTGGCGGCACTAGGAGACGCGTGTGGTATGTGGAAGGGTCTTCAAGGAGTCTGACAGATTGCCTCATGAACGTTTGGGTGGATTTGTTCTTGAGAGGGGAAGGTAAAGGCTCCAGCATGATGGGTTGCCTTTGAGAAGTGGCCATCTTGGTCCCGTACACGCCCGTTATGGTCAGATCCAAAGTGGCTGGTCACCGTGCCTCAGCAGGAGTTCGTGCAGTCTTCGGGCGATTAAGGTGTTGCGTGGGCACAACGTTCTGTGGGTCAGCAGCAGATGTGGACTCGGAAGTCGGTCCCTTCGTTAGAGACATTCAAAGACAACTCTCCCAGGAACTGGCCACAAGGCTGCATTAGCAAAGCGAGCATAGTATTGCTGATACATCCTAGCTTATATCGGATTACAAAGGATGGCGGTCAGAATCAAGCAGACAGAAGCAGAGCAGAAGATAGATGCTATTAGTGTCTGATATATCTGGAGCGAGCACAACTCGCTAGTCTCTGCTAGAAGAAAGGCTAGGACACAATGCACACTCGTCTTCCGCCTTGCGTACCTGAGACCACGTATCCCTGGACTTCTGGCGTCGTGGCAAAATCTGCACTGCAGAACCACAGAAACTCATGATCCATGTGGTAACGATACGTTGCTTCTGACAATGAGTGGTGCCCATCGGAAAGGGAAGAGATGAAATCTGCAGCCCGGTTATGGCACCGTACACAGATCAGCTTAAGCCCTACCATAATTTGTGTGGCGAATGCCGAATTTCAACGCTCGCCTAAGGCCTATTAAGACAATGTTGGCCAAATCGTTGTCCATCCGTCTACACTGGACATTATGAGATCTATGGGGATTTCAGCTACTCATTGCAACCTCCTGTTCTCAGTTCTGTCTTTGTTGGCTTTGGAGTTTCTTTGCAGGATTTATGCTTTGATTTTATCCCAGCACGCGGTACTTTTCGAACTGTGTAAGACTAGACTGACAGATATTTTATACAGAAAAATGTTTATTGGAGGGCTTAATTGGGAAACGACAGATCGTGAGTGACCCTCTTGACCACAGTATTATAGACCTGCTACTAGGCTTGTGCCTACCATGCCCTGTCCTAACTGCTATCCTCCCCTTTATTGCAGTTACGGAAGCTGATTTTTGTCCCCCCCAGAATCGCTACGTGACTACTTTTCTCAGTTCGGCGAGGTTGTTGAAGGCACGGTTATGCGAGACGGAGCAACAGGACGTTCACGAGGCTTTGGCTTCCTGACCTTCCGTGACCCCAAAACGGTGAATACCGTCATGGTGAAAGAGCATTTCCTCGATGGCAAGATAGTAAGAGCCTCTATTTCTGATAAGCCCCTACTTTCCCCTTCTAAACACAATATTGCTGCTGGTTCTCCTCGTTCTCCTCATTCACGCAAAGAGGATCCCATTCCCCTCTCGACCCCTACAACTGGAGATTCTGGTGCAGTTGGCTTACGAGAGAATGTGAAGATCGATCCAAAACGCGCGATCCCCCGCGATGAACAGGAGAAGACGTCCAAGATCTTCGTTGGCGGAGTCAGTCAAGAAGCTTCGGAGCAGGATTTCAAAGAATTTTTCCAGCAATTCGGCAGAGTTGTTGACGCCACGCTGATGATGGATAAGGACACCGGTCGACCACGAGGCTTTGGGTTTGTCACCTTCGACAGCGAAGCCGCTGTCGAGAAGTGTCTTGATCAGCAACCCCTTGAGATCCTTGGCAAGATGATTGAGGTCAAGAAAGCTCAGCCACGCGGTAAGATGGGCGAAGAAGAAGACACTAGAGGCGGCAGAGGACGAGGCAAGTTCAGTCGAGGAGGGGACGACCGCTACAATAATGATGGTGGCAGTCACTCCCAGCAAGGTGTTCAAAATACTCAGCAAGCCCAAAATTCCATGGCCGGCGCTACCGCAGGAGGCATGACACCACAGATGATGGCTCAGTACTGGCAACGTATGCAACAGTACTTCGCAATGATGCAGCAGCAGATGGCTGCCTCGGCGATGCAAGGCGGTATGGGAGGCATGGGCATGAACCCGCAGATGATGGCCCAGATGCAGCAGATGCAGCAAATGCAACAGATGCAAAAACAGATGCAACAGAACCAATCACAAGGAAGTATGAGCCCCGCTCCTCAAAGCCCTGGAGCACAAGGCCTGGGCGGCATGGGCGCTGCCATGCAAGGCATGAACCCGCAAATGCAGCAAATGATGCAGATGATGCAATCTCAGCAGCAGCAAGGCGGCGGTATCGGCGCAGGCGCAGGATTTGGCATGGGAGGCGGCATGAGTCCTGCCGCACCTCCTGGAGGTGCACGACCCGGCTTCAACGCTCAAGAGCAAATGGCTTTTGAACAGCAGAAATACGAACAACAGATGGCTCGTCAGCAAGGCGGGTTCCAAGCCCACAACCGTCAACACCACGGCCCGCCCGCTAATTTCAACCAACAACAACCGCAGGGTGCTCCTGGTGGCCCGACATCATGGGAAGGCATGTACGACGACGTCCCTCAGCCCAACGCCGGTGGTAGAGCAAGCGCCGGTGGTGGTGTAGTCAGGAATTTGACGCCAATGAACGGTAAACCTGGGGGAGGAGCGCCAAAGGGGCCTGGCAGCGCGGTTGGAGCGGCGAATTCTCCTCAACCGAGCGCTGCGCCTGCGAATGCGCCGACTGGGCCGAAGAATGCTGGGAAGCCTGGTGCAAATTTTAGGGGCGGAAGGGGTGGCGGGAGGTTTCATCCTTATGGGAGGTGATGTGGCTCAGGAAGATGCTCAGATGTGGTGCCTTTGTGGGTGGTGTATGGGATGTGGATCATGGCCGGTAGTTCATTCAAGGGGGCTTTGGGAGAGGTGGTGTTGCGCGCTTGAAAGGCAAGACAACTTCAGGCTTGAAATGGGCATGTCCACCGCATTGTCGTCGTTGGGTTAG